TATACCTTTTCTTCTTTTTTCTTTCCAGAGTTTTCTACATGAAAAATAAAATTGGGTTTAACAAATTTCGTTAGGTTTGCCGTTTTTCCCTTTTTGGGGGAAGTTTTTCCCTAGCCGGGGGGGGGGGGGAGAATAGGGGGGGGGGGGGGGGGGGGGGGGGAGTTCCTAATCAATAGCCCGGCTTTTCAGCAAACCCGACAGATTTACGACAGGTTACAGGACAAACTGTACCTCGTTTATGAAACAGCTTTTAGCATTATATGAGATGTTTTTGTACAAACACAATTCTGCACTAGGCAAGTTCATACGTTACATGCAAGTAAAATATGTTCTTATGTTAGACCAGTACTTAACGGCCAGGGATTAGCTTTTTGGCAGTATCTAAATTACATAACAGCATCATTTGTATTCGACTTATTAATGAGAAACTGTACGCATACTGAATAGCTTTGGCGCCGCCGCGAAAATCGTCCTGGATAGAGCTTCCGTTCACACGCAAGAACGGTTCTGGCGGCGCGATTACTTTGACTAATTAAAGCTTCGCCGCGCCGATCTTGAAATGGAGCTTCACATATCGGATAGCTGGTTCTGTGCTATACTTTGGTGCCGAGTGTGAACAATTCGGCCCGTGACGGAAGTAAACAGGGACCTTATATAAGCAATGAGGACGACGACGGTAGTGAAAACGTTGCTAAAAAAATGAATTTGCGTTCTTTCAAACTTAATCGCGTCTATTTGGACCCGCTCGATATGCCAAATGCAGGCGACTTTTCCTGGAGTTGAATTCGTAAAGATTTTATTCAAGTTCAAACAGAGAAAGGAAAAATCGTAGTCGTATGTCTACGTCCTCCATGAAACGTCAAATTAGAAGGTTTCACGTCGTAGTCGTGCAGTGGACATCAAAGAAATGTACTAAAAAGCGTGATGCACGTGCAGAGCTGTTGTTTTGATCATTAAACCTATTGTGTTTTGAAGTTGTCGTCGTGGTCGTGGTCGTCGTTGCTTAAGCTCCCTAATAAGTAGGACTGGAACCCAGTGAGACGGAGGTAAACATTCACGAGTGAGGACTGGAATTTAGTGTGCCAAACCCTCTACGCGCCAAGCGCGCTGGCACCATGTTTGATTGTGAAGACCTTTGGACTCGTTATAATGACTGTCGTGAGTTCACGTGCTTAAGATAGAGCTATAAGCTAGCAAACAAAAGATTGACGATTTGTGTATTAAAGAGGGGGCTTTAGTGGATTACTGTCGTCCAAAGCTCAGTGAACAAAACATAAACAACCGTCATCAAATTTATCCTTTCAAATCTATGCTGTATATTCCAGGGCCATAATAGATTGAAAATCTACTGCAAATGCACCCTCTGACTAATTCAAAAATTCCAAGATTTCATCCCCTGTTCCATGATGTACTACATTTAGAACCCGGCAAAAGTCAGTTCTGTTCAATGGGGCAGTATATTGCTTTTAGTGTCATAAAAAGGCCTGAAATGGCTGTTTTATATGTTATAGTCTAAGAAGTCAAAGCCTTTGCAAAAACCCGTAATATGCCCCCTTTAAAAGTACTGCGNGAAGTTGTCGTCGTGGTCGTGGTCGCCGTTGCTTAAGCTCCCTAATAAGTAGGACTGGAACCCAGTGAGACGGAGGTAAACATTCACGAGTGAGGACTGGAATTTAGTGTGCCAAACCCTCTACGCGCCAAGCGCGCTGGCACCATGTTTGATTGTGAAGACCTTTGGACTCGTTATAATGACTGTCGTGAGTTCACGTGCTTAAGATAGAGCTATAAGCTAGCAAACAAAAGATTGACGATTTGTGTATTAAAGAGGGGGCTTTAGTGGATTACTGTCGTCCAAAGCTCAGTGAACAAAACATAAACAACCGTCATCAAATTTATCCTTTCAAATCTATGCTGTATATTCCAGGGCCATAATAGATTGAAAATCTACTGCAAATGCACCCTCTGACTAATTCAAAAATTCCAAGATTTCATCCCCTGTTCCATGATGTACTACATTTAGAACCCGGCAAAAGTCAGTTCTGTTCAGTGGGGCAGTATATTGCTTTTAGTGTCATAAAAAGGCCTGAAATGGCTGTTTTATATGTTATAGTCTAAGAAGTCAAAGCCTTTGCAAAAACCCGTAATATGCCCCCTTTAAAAGTACTGCGCAAGATCGCCAACCCCGGCTCCCGCGGCCCCCACCTGTTGCGGGCTCCATTAAGTAGGGAGTTTTAAGCAACTTCGACGGCAACGACAATTTCGTAAAAAAAGCATCATACCTTTCGGTACAAATTCTTTACGTCATTGCATAACCACCGTCTGAAATTTCTCCATTTCACGTTTAATGGATGACGTGAACACAATACAAAGGTTTCTTCCCTTTTTCTGAATTTGGATTCAGTCCTTTAGAATTTCATTTCCACCAAAAATTCCCAAAATTTGACAAATTAAACGACGTGACGTAATAGTTACGTTTTTCTGCTTTCCGGTGCTTAATAAAGCTGCCTAGTATCAACTAGTAGCCTGGAAACCTAGTTTATAGCTCTCTATAATTTAGGATACATAGGCACTAATTTTCCCCTTAACAGGCAAAATGACTTTATTCTATCTTTTCTTGAAATCTTTTTATCACCAATGTAATGCATACGAAAAAATTTGCTAGATACCAGTCTCAAACATGAAATAGTTATACTTTTAACACTCCATTGTGAAACTGTACAAAATGGTCCTTTGACAAGAAGCTCTTGCTCCGTTCAGAACTTCTCATTCATGTACAATATTTACAGCAGTTCCTGGTAAAATTCGTGGTTATCAATTATTTGTCCACCGCAAAAAGTCGTGTCCATCAGAGGTTATTAAAGACTCGCTTGTGAAGGCCAACACGCCATGTCGATCTTTCCTCGGGCTTCGTAACGTTAAAAAGTATATCACTACTTGAAGTGTTATGGTTCTGTTGGTTTTCTACGCCATGTTTTGCTATATTTTCACCTTGGCATTCATGGGTTGCTTGAGTAATGGTGTTACAAAGAATTCGTGCCATCTTTTTTGGTATTTGATCCAGTTGATTCGCTACTGTAGGTCGTGCATGTTTTCCAATTCTGGTCATTTTTACTTGGTCAGTTCTATAATCCTGTTGCGACGAGCTGTTGTGGTCCCAAAGTGGAAGCTATTCAATGAATCCCTGAGGCTGGTAAGACGTCAGTGAAGTTCTCCTATGTGTGCCTTAAGTGTTATCAGTGGCTAGAACACCGGCGACTAAACATGTCATTTTCGTCTTTAGTTCTCTTATCAGACTATTCAAACAAAGGCTTACGAATTTGAAACAATGAAGCCCCTTGTTCATTGGCTACATTTTAAAGGGCTTTTCTGCGAGCTAAATAATTATCCCAGGACTATTTATTAGCTGTTTAAAATTTTCTTCTTTGAAGCACCACAGAACATGCTGGAATCAATGTTTGCTTTCCTATTGTACACGTTTTTACTGGCCAGAACAGAATCTTCGATACTTCTCACTGTGCTGTGCGGACAGTCTGTTTTCTTGTGATCATAAATTTCAATACATAAAGCCGGTGGTCTTAAGGTTGTTTTTAATAGCTTATACACCTCTAGGGAAATATCATGAATTAAAAAAAATCACGCGTTAATTCACGTGTTTCCTGTTTTACTGCCAGGTAATCGTTTCACAGAGAAACCTTGATATATCACGAAGGGCTAAGGGACTGGAAAAAATGTTCGTTATAACAAGGCTTGATTATATCGAGTTCTTTTCAAATTACCCCGAGCGAAAAAATATCGTTCGTTATACCGAGAGGTTCGTTAAACTGAGTTTCCTTTTATCGAGTTTCTATTGTACTGTTTTACAACTTTGTGCGTGGGAGCTCTTTTCTATAGCGTCGGGTTATTTTCGAAATCACAACGAGTTCTGCTATTTTTCGTTTTTCTGACTGGCAACGGAGAGACGTACAAAGGAGCTTATCTTATGTAAGACCATTCAAGTAATAAAGTTATTGAGCAGGTCACTCGCCTTTCATTAGTAAATCCTAATATCCTTGATAGTTGTCAGTTTGTTGGGTTTACGCACAAAAATAATCTTGGAAAATACCATGTGACGTCATGGTTGCGTGGTTCTATTGGTGCTGTAAATACCTAGGATTTTGATATTGAAAGATTGGACATGCGGCAGCTTATAAGGCGTTTTTTCTCTACAGTCAAGCCCCGCTCTACAGACACCCGCTTAATACGAAAACCTCATTATTACGGACAGTTTGCTATGTCTCTGGGGAAAGAAAGCCCTTATATTTTCTCTTTATTCATCCGCTTTACACCCCGTACGGACACTTTCTATGTCCCCCTAAGTGTCCGTATTAACTAGGTTTAACTGTAATCAGTAAGTACATGTACATAGGAAGGCCCAGTCCAATTGACTGATCTGTAAACACAGTTCAGGATTGTTCTAAAATTTTATGCGATACCACAGCACATGTTGAGATGTACACAGTTATCTACATTACAATTGGTGTTGTTTCTCGAATGTTCTCATTATAGTTAGATTAGTTGTTTGTTCAGAATTGTACAGTACAAAAAAAGTTTGTTTGTCACGATCTGTATCTTGAATGAGAAAGGAAGCAGTTCAAAGTAAAATAATCCTGAATGGGTTATTTACAATATTGCCTAGACTCCTTGGGGACTGTTTAAGTAGAAGGAAAATACCGTCCTATAACCATGAGTTTGTGCAATTCACGTGCTAATGATTGTCTGAACTCTTGTTATTCACGTGAACACAGTAGAACCTCGATATAACGAACGATTTTCTTAACCCCAGCAACAGTAAAATATATGATTCAACGAGAAATATATGATTCAACGAAACCTCGCCTTGGGAAACACATTTAGCAATTCCTTTAGCCATTCTTTATATCGAGGTTACACTGTAACACGTCATTTACAATGAAAAACATTTACTGTGTGACTGGAAGTATGAAATTATAAGAGACTTCACTTTCGCTTTTATTACTCTGTGCATTTATGTTGTCCAACTGTCGTGACTTTAAAATAGAAGGTGCAACGAGCTTAACTTTAGCTTGACGTACAACCTTGCGCGTTTTTCAATGTACGAATTTTAGTCGGATTAATTGTCTGTTCACAATTGTACAGTACAAATAGGTTTGTTTATCACGGTCAGCAATTTGAATAACAAGGGACCTAGTTAAGCGGTCTTAAAAAGACTGATCCAGAATGAGCTGTTTTGTATAATGCTCATAATTATATAAGCCCTTGGGAGATGGTAGACCCTAGGGGAGTACCCTCGGGGTGCTAGCAGACAATCCCTCGGGAGCGCTATCCAAACATCTTTTAGGGGGAGCCTTTCAACTGTTTGCAAGCTTGCCTGATCCGCGCGTTTTGCCCGTACGTATTCAATACTTTTTCCGGCTGTGTGACTAATACAAATTTAGGTTGCCTGTACATTTTGCTTGACAATTTCGTTTAATTAAAATTTTTTGATTACCTCAAACTATGACCCTCATAGGCGAGGTAAGTTTTGAATTAATGCGGTCAGTGATTTTGAGCGTTTTCAACCCTGTATAGACTGCGAGCAGTCCCTCATTATTTTGCTCGAAAATCTGTAAGCGAGTGGGGTATGTGAGTATTTGTGCAGCGAAGCCGCGAGCAGCGAGTTGGTAGGGCGCCATACTCCCTGCTCCGCAGGTGACTTAATTCCATGGTCTTTGTGTAAGCGAGGTTTGTTGCTTTATTAAGAGCTTTCTGGTATACGGTTAAACCAGTTAGTTCGCTAACGGTTTCAGGGGCACTGTGTGATGGTGGAGTATCTCATCTTCTTCGATTCATTATTCACACCAAATTCAAAATTCCAGTCAATTTAATTCTTAGAATTGTCCCTTTTCCATAATTTTTAAACATTTGCTACAGCTCTACTAATCTTTTATACTATGAACAATGTGTGGTAAAGCAAAGGAAAAAATGTCAACAAACTCATCTCGAATTTGGTGCATGTTTTCAATCCTGGATCTCGAAAAAGTTAGCGTTCAAATAAGGCAAATTCCGGATCCAGAGAAACTTAATCCAGGCTGTACTTACTAGTAATACCCCTAGGTGCTTCATGCAACGGAGAGATTTTTTTTTGAAAACGTAGAGATCTTTGTCGGTTAAAAAAGGATAAACTCTTCAGGCTTGTAATTATGTTTCGACTATTTTAATAGTCGAAAATGTTAAAACATTATTTATTCAATAACCACCGCCTTAACAAAGTGAGGTACAGTGGCTTTCATATAGTCTAACTTAAGCTATGATTTCATAGTCCACAAGCTAAAACCTCTGTGTCTTCGGCTTTGTGGTGCATACGCTCGGTGTACAGAAAGTGTTACCGTAGCGACAGAGAAGCCTTTACAGTTGGATTGATAATTTAGACTCACTGCTGTTGGTGTATCAAACAGGCAAAACTTTGAATACTTGAACAAGAGACATAAGGAACACTCGTTAATTTTTGGTGCTTTCCTTGATGCCCTTTCAGTAATGTTAGCTTATTAAGTGAAAGCTCATATATAATTTTTTCTGGCTATAAAATTTCAAGGCTTTTTTGAAAGCATAGGTCCCCTTTAATGCCTCTTTTGGGATTGGCGTTTTTAAGCGTTATCGGCAAAGGTTATTATTCCACTTTTCCTTTTTTTCATCCACTTTTTTGCAGTCAGACTGAAAAACATTTATACATACAAAAAAATGTCGCTTTTGAATTGCCGTGGTCTTCCTTGGCAGTGGTAGTTAAGTTACTCTTTAAATACTTTGTGAATCGTTTCGATCCATATCATATAATTAAGCCCGAGACAACCATTAATTAAATTTTGTAGCTCGATTACCTAATTAATAGACTGTGGTAAGACAACCTCGGCCTTGTCTACAATATTCCTGTTCTAAATTATTATCGGTACTCGTCTATGTATAGTTACGTTCCATTTTTGCGGCGCCTTCCGCTTTGTGTCCGACCGGCTCTTTCGTCTTGTTACAGGACGGCTGGCGTCGATTTTAGAATCATCGCCAGAAGATGTCTTTGTCGAACGTTGGTCAACGACTTTTCCCTCTTTGATGCTTTGTAAACTCTGGGTTAATTCTTGCCACTTTGAAGCTACTCTTGTTTGGGATATTTCTCTGTTGGTCGCTGGGAGCAACTGTTGTCGATTTGTGGTAAGTCCAGGGTCACAGATACTCGGAAGCGACCTGCTTCTCAATGTTGGGCCATTAAACGAAAAGAACTTTCTTCTTTCTGCACGTTCATGATCTAGTCTTTGGTAAGTTCGAAAAGGACTTGGTTTGTCTTCGTCGATTGGAAAGTCAAGCTCTCTTCTCAACTTAGCCTCTTGAAAATAAATAGAGTACAATTCTTTCTTTGTTTGAAAAGATTCCTCGCCTTCATTGTTTTTGTCATTTCTCGAGAGCATACGTACAAACTCTTCACTTAAAGATGGAAAATTGTTCCTGTTCATCTTAACATCGCCTTCTGTCGCCTATTCTCATAGTAGTTTTTCATTGGAAAGTACTCGTTGTAACTTTGAGTACTTACACCAATTAACGCTGGCGCGATTTATTAGTAAAGTAAACAACCTATGCCATATGTCAGACTAAGACATTTGTTAAGGGGGAGCATTTTCCTTTTATCAGGGTGGGGATGGGGGTGGTTGATTTCAGAAGGTGAGAATCCTTCCAAGAGGCGTGGAATGAATACAATATTGCATAAAAAAAATTGGTGAGAGTTACTGTAATGGTCGTTCATTGACGCCACATAATTAAGAAAAAAAATTGATCACAGTTGTAGGTTTGAAAACAAAAAAATATATACTTGTTTGACCCAAGTCACCCCCTCCCCCCTCAAATACTCGGCCACTAATGCTGCAGTAATCACTTATAATTAAGGTGCCGTCTATTGTTGTAAGTATATTCCCTTGAAAAACAAAAGAAAACCTCCATTAATGGCAGTAATGTATGGACTTTGAAAGATATAAAGCCTCATAGTTAAAAATTCCACGGTTTACTTTACAATGTCGTACTCTTTATTGTGTTAAATGCTTCGACCTTCTGCTGGCCTAACATGTCCACCAAGATAGATACAAAATACAAACCATGTTTTATTGGGTCATAAACACCGCCCTGTTAAAAAAGCTTTTGAATGGCTCTTCAGTATTACAATACTCACTAGAACTAATTAGTCAAGTATTTCTTTTTTACTTGGGATTAACTGTGTGTGCCAATTGAAAATTTTGGCAATTACGTTGGCATAACCATCAGAGCTTGTGTTCAAAACACTATCTTATAACTCTCTCCATTATTCTTATGGCTTGGTTTATTTTTCTTTTTTACTTGGGATTAACTGTGTGTGCCAATTGAAAATTTTGGCAATTACGTTGGCATAACCATCAGAGCTTGTGTTCAAAACACTATCTTATAACTCTCTCCATTATTCTTATGGCTTGGTTTATCTCTCTAATTGGCCCCAAGAATATTAGTATTTATTTTAAAAGAAATCTAAACTGAGAAGCAAAGAATATAAAACAAGTAGAAATCAATTATCACCCATTAGACGGCAATTGGCCATAGTTCTATCCGATGGTTTAAAATATTTCGGAGACGATTTTCGTCGTTGATGTCTAGTCTTAAAATCATGTCGCCTCACTGTATTTCAAATACGTTTTCGAAAAGTGTTTCCTTAGCACTTATTTTTCTTTTCTAGACACCATTTATTTTTGTATTTTACCGACCTTCTTGCCGTATATTTCAGTCAACAACGCCAATAGGTCTCTTAGGTAAGACTATAATAGGGAACTGATTAAATGACGACTGGCTTAAAAATGTTAATTGGGATTAAAATTAGTTTTGTTCTTCTTCTACCCCCTGCTATTAAAAACGTGGAGCTTAATTTACTGCTTTCCTAGGCTTTTTTAACTAGTGGTTAAGTAAAGTCATTGGTCAAATCGCTCATTCGTCACTCAAAAAGGATTCGATTTGCTGATAAATCTCCCGGAGGGAGCACTCTTTTATTCGGCCTAACCGCGAGTATGTGCATGTGCTGCTGAACATGGTATAAGTTTTCAGTGTCTTGAGTCATAAACAAGGTATTCAATTTCACTATTTAGCCTCTTAGCCTGGCTCTCTTGGGACCGGAAACCATTTTAAGAAGGAGTGTGGCAGTTCGGACGATGAGTGATCTCCATGTGTGGTAACAACGATCTCAGTTTTTTTCCAGAAAACTCGCCCCGTGTATGGTGTAAGGGAATCGAAGACAGTCTTAGATTCTTGATTTCAGGCCGTAGATTTTCGGATTGCTGATACTGGATTCCAGTCTTTGTCACGTGAACTTGGATTCTGGATTCCAGTGTTTATTGGGATTCCGGATTCCTTGAGCTGAATTCCAGATTCCAAAGTCCAGGATTCCGGATTCCACAAACAAAATTTTCCCGGATTCTGGAATCCGAATTCCCTGACATGGGGCGAGAAAACAGTCTTATTCCAGCAGTTACTTAAAAAACTTAATTCTGCATGGGTTCTAAAAGAAACACGAGGGTCTTGAAATAAGGTCTCGTATCTTAGTCAGGATAGCGAAACGAACGATTTTTGTCTTGAAAAGAGTCAGGTTTTAAAGGCCTGGGGCCCGTTTCTCGAAAGTCCCGGTAACTTTACGGACTCGGAATCAAATATTCAAATCGAAATATAAAGAATAAGAGCGCGGGTCCTGGCTAGCAAACTACTCCATTTTGTTTCATTAACTGACAGGTTTATCGTGTTAGATGCAAAACTATTGAAACCTCGATCTCTAATGTAAACGGAGACAGCTTACCAGGCCCGTTAATCATCGGGACTTTCGAGAAACGGGCCCCTGGACGGCACACCTCCACCCAGACTTGCTGGGAGGTACTCAACAAAGTCTTATACAGGGAGGCTCCGCGCCCCGAGGTCCGACCCCTTTTTAATACTATTTTTGACCTAGAAGGTTCCCTTTCGTGTACCACACTATACCTTCTAATAAAAAATGGTACCCTTTACACACCCAGATTAGAACTTCCCATTCCTTTAACTTCTGTAAATTCACTTTCTTTGAAGTGTGAATAAATAATAAAACCGGAACGACTTCACGACTTTTTCACAGCCATAAAAAGTTTCTGATAGCCCTTCGGGCCTTTTTACAAACCGGAATGACAGAATGTTTTTTCCTTTCATATACTTCAGAACTAGTAACATTCCTGCCTTTTCATGTACCTGAAGCCTAAAAAGGCCCCCATTTCGAGCGGAGCCTCCCCGTAAATCCTTATAGGGAGTACCCCCGGGTTAAAAAGGCGACAGCGCAAACAAGGTATGTCCCTCTAACACTAAATTGCCTCGAAATGATAGGAGTAAGTTGTCTGTGACGGTCTTATGGTTTCAGAAAACCCTGTGCTGTTGTATAGTTGATTCGTGTATCGATTCATCAGATAAAACGCTGTTTTGAATTTGCAGCGAAAAGAACTGAACAAATTTCCATTTTCTATAATTTAGAATTTGGGAATCTGGATGACTGAAAGAATTCTTTAGCCGGATAGCGTTTTTTTTTGTTTGTGTAACATATATAGTAGGTAAATATTCTTTTTTTAATGCTGTTCCATTAAAAATAGAGAGGTTATAAACTATCAGAATAAAGCTCCATCTGTGTACAATGCCATTTGATTTAAGATTTTAAATAAACAACTGGATTGTTTAACGATTATCGGGCGTCCTTGTCCTTGCACCGACGAACTGATTCATGTCCTGTTTTCGATTGGTTTTTGGCCCCGCCACAACATTTGATAAACGCCGGAATAATTCGTAAAATCCCGTAGGTAACACAAGTTACTCTTAGTCTTAAAACGTTGTCTGTGGTCTCCCCGATCACCACGTTATACCCTAAGAAATTTATACAAACCAGAGAAAATAAGTAAGCCTTGCAAATTTTTCAAAGGATCGAGCAACCGCACGGTAAATTATCATGTTATATCAACATATTTGGAATCCGTGACCGGAAAGAGATCTTACTTCTGGCCTATTAGAGACTTTGGCAGCGCTTAGCGGCCGCAAATTACGTTAACGGAAATGAGCTTTTATGCAAAACATGCGACATTTGTAGAGTTATTTTACAAAGGGATGATCTCACTGTTTCGCTGAGCTAATTCTTCTTAGCGAATTGTCTGCAGCCACGTCTGCAGTCTTTCATAATAATGTTAATCTTATTTCCCTGTTAATATTTCTCTTTATTTTGTAGTACTCTCAACGCATTTGGCTGTACTTTTGTCACACCCGGAACCTCTTCGTAGAGGGAATTAAAGGAAGTGGTAAACACCCGTACAGCCTTTACTCCCAGCTATTTAGCAGTTTGTCATTTGCACGAAATGGGAGACACCGCAATCTAACACGAATCGCGCGAACGCGCGCCTCTAATTATAAGCTGCACTCGTGCCATGATAGCGCATCTGTCAGACCCTTGGGGTCACCTGTCATACGCTAGACTTTCGGTCATTTTCTGGGCTGTTTAGGTAAAAGTCAGTAGCAAATTGGAAATATGACTTCCAAGGTCCTTTAACCCTTAAAGCCCCGAGAGTGACCAACATCAGTGTTCTCCTCACCATGTCAATGCATTGTCAAAAGAAAAGGTTATGAGATTTAATAAAATGATCATCTCAGGAAAAATGCTTTGATCTTTTATCAAATTCTCTCGACTAATTCTTTAAGGAAATGTATGGAGGTCAGTTTGGAGAATTTGTATGTGGATATCGGGGCTGAAAGGGTTAAGCAGTTAAACCTTTTTCGCTTGAAGCTTCTGTGATTTCGTCCGTCGCTATTGCTGGAAATCCTAGGGGCTGTTTAGATGGAGGAAGGAAGATCCTAGAAGGCGGAACAACTATTCGCTTGGTTTACCAGCAGAAATTTTAGTCCAGGTGGTTAACAGTACGACCCGCCCCCATTTTTGCGTGGTTTGTCCCTAATTCTAGGTATGTTCCTAGTGAAAGCAGTTAGCATGGTGCTAGGATCTTCCTAATACTAGGATCTTCCTATCTCGCAGGTAAGAAGATCCTAGCGCTAGGGACAAGTACAACCCTTTGCATGTAAACCGAATACAGAAAACATTATGGCGCTAGGATGATCCGCCCTTTAGGATCTTCCTGGTCGAAGGATCTTCCTCCCTCCATGTAAAGAGCCGCCTACTCTGCTCTGACTGACTGCAGATTTTTTGGTGCGAATGGTGAATCTATCTGAAATAGAGTTACCATGCATGCAAGACATTATATAGAGACTTGGTCACACAATGAAGATGAGCTCCTGATTCTGCATATTCAATACAATCTGGAGCTCTTGTTATACATCCTCTAAATAAACCCACACTCTTCTCATGAAGTAGGGGAATGTTCTGAAAATCTTCCATCCGCAAGCCTCCAATGCCCTAATTTTTTTAGCAAGTATTCAGAACCATAGCTGTGGCAACAACCTGCATTTATCGACTGCATTCTTTCATGCAAACATTGTTAAGAAATTTACCACTGGCTACGAAAGGTCCTAAACCGATTATTAATTCTCTTCTTGTGCCAATTACCCGTTTACCAACGAAGTACATACGGTAAAAACCCACGAGTAAAAACCTACATTTTCCAGGGTTAGCCTAAACAGGTTCTTACATAAATGGTGGTTAACATAAATCAAGAGAGATTTTTTTCTCTCTTGCATAAATTTAGGCTTTCTAGGTTCTTAATAGGTTCTTAATTTCTTGCAAAAAAATTATGTCGTTGCTAAGAAGATTTTAGTGATCAGCACCCTTAAATTTGCATACCTAACGATTGCTTATATTTTAATATGACCATAATAGAGATCTGTTCTCACATGAATTTTAATTTCTTGAGTCAAAACAACTTTATACACGTGATTGAGCTGTAAAACACAATATTATAAACATTTTCTCAATGACCTCAATCAAACAACATTTATATATGTACTAACTTGCCTTTTGCAATTGCAATTAGTAAATATTTTTAAATGATTTTTGAAAATACGAACCTTTCCCCAAATTTAGGCTAAAGAGGTTCTTATATAGAGGGGGGTCTAAATTGCAAATTTTAGCCTAACAGGTTCTTAAATCTTAGCTTCTTACTCGTGGGTTTTTACTGTATTTAAATAACGCAAATGAATAACGATAAGTAGACTATTTCCGCGTGCTGTCCCAAGCCTCTGTTTTAAAGCGAGGCTAAATGCGAAGCCCTTTGCTTTGAAAACGAATTCGTATTCTGATGCAAATAAAACTCGTTTTCACAAGAATGGTTTTGCACTTAGCTTTGTTTTGAAAGTGAGAGTTTTTGCGGAACTCATAATGGCCGATAATGATGTTGTTAGAGCTCAATTCGCGGCCTCATTTTTTCTAAGTATTCACTGAAAGGAGTCACGTGAGCTGACCAAGATGGACGAACGTGTGCGTGAATGTGCTCCTTAAAGTTCTCCTTTTTTCTTTCATAAATCAAATGTTTTGTTAGTTTTCGTAGGTTTATATGTGTCATCTTTTGTTCTACCTGTTGCATATTATGCCTGAGTCAATTGCTACTTAAAAAGAGTTGTTATATATGCACATCATTTTAGTCTCTCTTCGTAAGTGTTATTTACTTACTTTGTTTTGTGTTAGTTTACCCTATTTATTGTCCCCGGTGTCTTCATTGTTGTTTAGTCCATCTACTAGAACCTTGTATCACCGTTCAGTACATGTAAGTCTTTCCTCCCCCGCCTCGAATAGTCCCTAGGCTATTTGCGGGTGGGAAAACTATGTCATTAGTTGTAATGTTGAATTTCAATAAAATTTGTTGTTGTTGTTGTTTTTTACTGTTCTTCGCTGTGTTACCTGGGGCCATTTGACATTTAGGTTCCTTTACAAAGAACTGTATATCCAAAGTTGTGCGTTAGTATGACATAAGTTTTATCTTGTAATTTGGCCAAATAGTATTACCTAAAGGTTTTTCTGTAAATCGAATAACCGGAATACCAAAGTCTTATTTCTCTGTCATATTAGTATCAAAAATAGTTTGGTAGATATGTAAACTTTGTAAAGTACAGATCAGGTTATTGTCTTTATTTGGCCTTTTGAGGAAAGCTTGCCGCGCTCAATTCGTTCAGTTTCGTCCAATGAACAGCGTTAACAAAATTATTAGGTAATTTTCATTTTAACGTTAATTAAGCCTGTTTTCCGATTGCGTGATGCTACCAAGCCTTCTGCGGAACAAATATTTGTTTGTTATCGGAGCACGCTGTGAAATTTAGAGCACTTAAATTGTTGTTAGCGAATGATTGGGAACTGACATTAAAGTTTAAACTTCATCTCAAACGTTACTTTAATATTCTCAAAATAATAAAGCGAAGTGCGTTAAACCCAGCTACTAGTTTATTACGATAAAAATGTAAGCAGTGACGCAATTTTAGACTTTATTACGTCTTTGACCGCACTCATTTGAGTACTTTTTGGTTCGCGTTCACGTGCCTAATTATTTTACATTCCTTCTGTCTAAAACTCTCATTTTGTAGTGTCTGAGCGACGGTACGAGCATTTAACTGAAAACTTTCATTAGTGAGCGCGCAGTTCAACCCGCATGAGATGTACAAGATAGGTCTTAATATATGCTTTTGACTTTGTGAACGATTATTCAAAGCCTAACGTGACGTGTAACTTAAGTCTTGTCATGTGCTTTGGAGTTGTTGGGTGTGTGTGGGGTGTTTCTTTCCTCAAAGAGCTCTGAGAGGGAACTGAAATCTTAAAAGTATACGAACGCCATGCAGGTACAGTGGTCAGTACCTTTTAAGCCAAAACCCCAAGCAATTTCGGATAACTTTACTTAAGGTCAATTTTTGATTACATATATGCAATCCTTGTATATATAACAAAATATGTCCATCGAACCATGTGAAATTTGACTGGATGTTGTTTAGATCGCATCTTGTAGCATAGTTACAGTCTTCAGTTAATGTTGTCAATCGATTACTGAGGACTCAGACGCCGAACGGCTCAGCTTAAGGTCTCTAACCAACTCAGCTTTAAAGTGACAATCGGTCGTTTTTGCATCTTGTTTCTATCGTTATTATGGTACCTTGTCTTTTTACTAATTTAGAATATTATTACCTCCACTTCGCATTGTCAGGTTTTTGCAGCAGTGGGAAAAAGCACCCTTCTACGAAATCGGCAGTGCCGAGTTTGCTAAACTACACTAATCCGCCGTCACCTCTCGACCATGTTTCAGAAGTCGAGTCAAAGTTGTTTATTTTTCACAAGATCTCTGCTTTATGTTCTGTATTCTTTGTAATGTTGGTACCCTGAAATTGTTATTGATACATTCAAAGGGTCGCCCTCCTCGGTTAAATGTCTTTTACTTTGTCGTTTATGAAGCTTTTTCTTCCAATGTGTTTTAACCGTATTCGTTTCCTCTGTGGCTAAATTAGCAGTCTGCTTTGAACGAGCCACGCGAACGCTTTTAGAGTTAATCTCTGGAGCGGCACGAGGCGACGGTGTCTCGGGGCGACGGTGTGCCTTGATTTTTTTCCCGCGTCTTCTTTTTCTCTCACTTGAGAATCCGTCGCCCATAGTGACTAACTGAACTTTCCCACTATGTATTTTAGGCAGCTTCGTGGTAACGTCCTTTTCCTTTTTAGAGCTGCGAAGTATTTCAGTCATTGTCATGGGAAGGCAACTAGAAGCGTTTAATTCCGGGAGACGAATTGATTCCTCGACTAGTTCCTCGAAAGTTTTATCCACTTTTTGTTGAGGTTTCATGTTGGACTCCGTTTCCTTGCGCTGGTGTTTAACTTGGGTTACATCTTCTTTCGTCACTGCAGTTGTTTGGTGGGTCATGACGATGTCTTACCTTCGACTTTTAAAACAACAAGCCATCACCAGCAAAATACGTAAGTTGTCTCCGATTTGTTTGAAGTATACATTGAAATCAACACCAGTCTTAGTTTTTGTTGTTTTTAACATTAGTGTTTGACGCTTTTTATGGCAATAAAGGCGATTTTTATCTTCAAATATGGCTTAAATTCCTCGATGAGTTTCAGGTAATGTGATGGACGCTTTGCGACCACTAAGCCCAATGAATGCTGCGATGGATACAGGAGAGTAGAGAAATCGAATCCCACAAAGAATTCGGCGAATTGCAGCTATTCAAAATCATGACAGCCAACATCCTAAACGCATGACCTGTTCCATGACCCGGCGTTTCACTTTGTGTTTGGAGTTCGCCGATTTATCCCGTAAGCTGATAAAATACTTGTTTTGTTAAAAGAATCGTCAAACTTTTGTTACGTAGAAAGCCGTCGGTCGTTAAACGCAAGAGATCAATCACTGTGGGGGTTTAACACCGCCGAAACTAATAATTGAGTGACAAATACTTATTCACGCATCTAACCAAGTGGAAATTTATTGTCAAAATTACCCCCCGAGAAAACAAACATTTTGACATTTCATCTAATGCATTTAGCGCACCAAAGTACACAGATCGATCCTTCGCCCCCATGTTTGCTAAGGAAGTCTTTTTTGACACGCAAATTTGAATTTCATGAAACGCAAAGTTTTGTTTTTAGACGGAGTGACAAAAAAAAATTATGACAAAATTATGTCATTCCTAAGGGTTTTAGAGGCCGGTATCGTTTCATTTTCCACTTACCAGTACGATTCATAATAGCAAGGTCAAGTTTTATTTGAGCAAACAACAAGTACAAACGAAATCTAAGTTGTCCGCAGTAATAAGAATTTTTATTTAATAATGTATTTTAAAGTAAAAAAGGTGTTATCATGAAACGCATTTATCAGGCCATTTGCAAGCTTCCCTTCGATCTTGCCCCTGCGCGCGCAGTTTATATTTATAGCTGTGATTCAATTAAAGCGCTAAACGTCCTAAATCATATCAAGAAGCTGATCTTATGAACAGTATTGCATTCTCTATCGCAGGTAAAATTCTGACCTGACAAAGAACTTCGTTCCAACGGACTGCGGACAACACTGATTTCTTGAGTTGTGTAAATTAACGTTTTCAAAACTGTGTTTAAAATGACAGCTCTTAAGAAAGATGTTTATTCAGTGAGCAACACTGCCGGCTCGGAAGAAAAACCCCGACAACCCCTAATAGGAGAAGAACTATGTGATCTTCTTGTTACTATAGTCTAGATGCTCTACTACTGGGCTACAGGACACTCGTTGGATCGGGATCTTAGTATTACTTACTCGTGAGTTCTAACGAGCCGTCGTTTCGTTGTTTTTACAGATTTTTTTCCCCAAGGTTCTTTCGGCTCCTTGTATTTTGTAGTTTTTCGAGGAAAGAGTTCGATCACAAATAGACTCACCTGGCTTAAAATTGATTTTAAAAAGAAAGGTTAAAAGGGTTAAGAAGAAAAATTGTCTTATGTTCTCAGCCGTCGACTGGGTTTTTATTCTTAATCATGTATTCACTGAAAATACAGTTTAGTGATATAGAGGATTTTTTTTTTCGTTGAGACTGTTTACACGACTGGTGCCAAATTATAGTAGAACCTTAGACTAACTGATTCCTTTTGTCTCGAGCCGGCAGTATTATGATAATTCCCAACATAAAGTTTTCTCTGATCTTGCCTTCAAGTATAGATGAAGTGGTTGCCTAGACGATTTCTTTTAAAGCTTAGGTTGGCCAGTTCTTGTCAGGGTCATCGCGACAGCGCGTGGCGCCAATTACTGCGGGCCCGTAACATTCCCTCTCCCCATTAGCGATAGACCATGACACCGGGGACTTTGTCCTTTATTCTTTACGATCACTGTGTGTGTGGGATCTTTAACGTCCCAGAGAATCTATGTGTGCAAGGGTTGTGAGACAGGACTTACGGTTTATCGTCCTTATCCGAGAAGACTAGAAAGTCTAACCGTCGAAGAAAGTACAAGTGTTAGAACATTCGCGCTTGCAAGAAAACGGTGCGCTTCGAAGGGACGTTTGCTGTTTTTAGAGCTGAGCTTTCAGATTTCTCTCCCGTTTTAGCAAAAAAATGAACGACAACTAGGCTGCCTTTTGATAATGCCGTGTTTTCGATTTGTATCCCTCCTTCTCTGTGGTTTGACGCAGCAGTTATTTCTTCACAGAAATTTTTTATTGAAGCCAATCTGGGTATGATTCCACTGTTCGTAATTTCCTCTGAATGAAATAATTCATGTCTTTCATCATATTTTAATTTTATTGATTTAAGGTATACCATTTATTTTGCTAACATTTATCTTGTTTGATGCGAGCTAAATCACAGCCAAAAACTTCTTCAAAATGATAATAATTAACACTAGGCAATTACTTAATTTGACCAAGGAATAATCGTACCCCAAATTGCTATAATTTCGGAATATCTAAGGGAAGATTGCTCTCTAAACCAAAATTGAAAGAACAATTAAAACGTCCCATGAGTACAGCCAGCGATAAACTCTCCTTGTACATGTCTGTTTATAAAAGAAATGAGTTTTATACGTGAACTTTTTGTACAATTCAAATTTAGTCTTAGTGTAGTCTAACGTCTGAATCAAACGAAACTATGATTGTAATTGTCAAGTTGTTGTTTATTATTTGTCTCGTCTAGCTAAAGTCAACATTAATCTCGAGTCACTTGTCTGAATGCAGCGGATAGGCTAGTTTTTGCGGGTTTCACTAAAATGTCTTAACGCAAGCTGAAACGACAGAACGATCCGAAACGATAAACGATATGTCAAAAATCTGATCATGACGGTTTACCACTTTTTAGTTGACTTACAGCTTGGAAACTGTTACTAAAACACCCTGTTCCTAACGGCTTAATCAGTTTAGACGCCCTTCTTAACGAGATCCTTCTATTTTGAGAAAATCGTACTTTCTGCCTTAAAAACTCGTCCGCTGTATCGGTTTCTCCTTCTTCGGCACCCTTAAAATTTCCATTAATGTCTTCTTTTCTTAAATCTGTGTTTTTAACACGAATAAATTCTCGAGGAACACGAGATGATTTCATGGACGGCCATAAAAATGTAGAAACAAAGTGCTGATTTTGGCCATTGGGAACCGAAAGATGCCGATTAAAACCGATTTTTTGCTTCGCGCCTCTCTTGAGGGAGATAGAGCTTTTTGGCGTGAGCACTGTTTCTTTTTCACCGGCATCGCTTTCTTCTGCAAATTCAGGTATAACAGTTAGTTCTGTTTCGTCTAAGGAAATCGATCTAAACCTGCTTTCCACGGATCCGGACGCTCGCGCCATCCTCTCAGGTCGTCGTTTGTTCTTTAGATTTCTCTTGAAGGCCATATATCCCAGCGTCAGTGACGACATCGAGTTGGACACTCGAGGCTCTACGACGGCGGTGCGAAGTTTAGCGATGTACTCTCGTTTGCTCTGAAATGCACAGCAACTACTTTCGGGTGCACTGCATGGTGAATGCGGAGACCAACTGTTTGACCTTTGACGTAGAGTGCCAATTTTTCCATCATTAACAAGGCATTTTGTGTCGGGCAGTATGATGATTTTTTCTCCAGGACACTGCGAATCCTCCTCCGCGTTTGGTTGATTCGTTTGTGATGATGTGATGCTTTGTGTTTGAGCCCTCCTTAACAGCCTTGGTTGTTTTGCAAATGCATTGGTAGCATCAGACTCAACTTTTCGTGTTGTATGCATCGCACCATTTTCCTCCGCAGATTCACTTTTTGCCAATCTTTCCTGATCGTCCTTTATCAAGTAGATTGGTTCAAACACACGATGAATCGATGAAAGTTCGCTCAGAATCCTCGCTTTCTGACTATTGCTGGTTCGCATACTCTTATGTTTGGCTCGATCCAGCTTGCCACCAATTTCTTCAAGGCGTGATTGCCTGGCCCTGGCATTTCGCAGGCCAAGAGCTTCTGTTTCTTTGTTCTGGTTTCGCCTGTGGAGGTTTTCCGATTTTGTTCCTTGCATGATTGCAATCAATAATTGTATGCGAGTTTACAAGATGGTATCCTTTGCAGTACACGGAACGATTTGCAAATCCAATTTTAATTTTGGCCGGAATATCTCTGAAATGAAGAACTGTTTTTCTTATAGCTCAGCTGCCTGGGTTTTCGATTTTGAATATTTGTTTCTGTCTAAAAATAAATCTTTTAATCGGATGGAGTTCAAAATTCGTTGCTACAACTCCTTCTCCTACCTGTCCAAATCGAATAATTTAGCTAAGGTTACAAACAAATTCAACCAACAGAGACCGCCGTTTTAAACGTCCTGCCCTTATTCGAGACATTTTTTCAAGTGAATCGTGTAAGATCACGTGGGAGAGGCGCCATTATGGCTTCGAAGTCTGGTCTGTGCAACTAATTTTTTTTATTATTATTTTTCTTTCTATTTTTTCGCTTTTAATGAAAACACTTGGCCTAATTTAGTGTTGAGTTTACCAAAGCCAGGAATCAGTCAGCCTATTTTCCCTCATAACGACAAAAAGTATTCATTGACTAGTTTGCCACGCAGAGAATTAAAACTCTATGTACAGTACACTATACTATACCAAACCTGCTCACTGAATTGTTTATTATTCATTCTGCCGACTCAAGGGCTATCACCTCTTTAAACAGAGAAACATTGATTTTCATTGCGGAAATGGATGTTTTGAAAACCCAGAAAGAAAAGGTGGAAAATAAACCTTTCTTCTGTCGTATTCTAACAACTCTTTTGTAGCTGAGAAGACTGATGCCGGAACTGATACGCTCTATAAGGATAGCTTTGTGTTTTAGACTTTTCAAGAACGTTTTCTTTTTGTTGAGTATTTAAGCCTAAAATATATGTTCTGAACTCATTCTTACGATCAGTAGTATTAACACTTTTTAAGAGTCTAAGTAAATGCATAAGAACAAATAAAAACAAGTGTAATTTTAGAACGTAAAATCCTCTCTTTCACTATAGACCCTGCAAGATCATATAATGCATATTTTGTTTCTTTAAAGCGTGCTTATCATGCACTTCTTTTTATTGCCTAGTATTCTTGCTCATTTGAACCACAAATTAGATAATCAAACCATGAGAGATTCTATCAGACTTAAGTACTAAACGGCGAGTCTTGAACTCTTCCTTCAAAATCAGTGTATTGGAGCAGGACGGTCTCGACGCTCGAAACTCGCCAATCCCTGTTTTTCAAGTCCAGCGATCAGTTCAACAGCCCGAAGGAAAAACAAGATTTGGTTATGTAAACTGAATTATCGAGAAGTTCTAAATTTTCGTTTTAGAATAATCTACTTAGTGGGAAGCTGCTGCGCCGAGAGTATTGTGGATGAATTTAGCATGATCCGTTGTAGAGCATAACAGCGTCTCGGTCTCGATCTTTTGGAGACTCAAAGTCTGTTGGATTTACCCCGTTTATTTTTAAGCCCCGTTTTCTTAAGAGCTCAATCTGGGTGGGTATGTTCTTAGCGATTTTCTTAATTTATTGAAAAATATTTAAAGTTTGAGGCCATTCTCTTTCTACAAGCCAAGATATGAAAATATTAACGAATACATGGAGAACAATTAGAGAATATGCTCCTGATGAACTTAAACCTATTACTTCGAAGTGTGGCACAACTTAATACGTTGATAGTGAACTTGCGCAACAGGACGGGAGAGAAAAGAAGACAGCAAACCTTGTGTGATAAGCGTGACAATAATTTTTTTTTGAAAATTTTGCCTCAAACGTCATCTTCCTTTAAACAGATCTTTTTGTAAAAGACCAAAACATGCAAGTAATAGCCCTGTCACGTTTGTCACACAACCGTTTTGCCGTCCTCCTACATTCGACGGGTATTTTTATGACCCTTATCATTGGAAGCACATACCCAAGTAATGAATTTCAAGATTCCGTCATGAATTTTTAACTTTTTAGTCCTTAGATCCCTTGATGTCATCAGTCAAATGAACCTTCTTAGCGGTGTCCTCTAACATGGTACTATTTGTTTTGTATGTCGTTCTAACTTTTGTTTCTGTGGATGGAATCCCATAATGTCACCATTTGAACAAAACCTCTTCGAGCTTTTCAGCATTCCTTTCACAGCATTTGTTTTTTAAGTGTTTTGCAAAATCAGATTTCAGCTCAGTCATTGGTGAGTGTACGCAACAGGAAGGCAGGAAGAGTAGACATTCACAAAGTGTACAATAGTGCACTGTAAATTAAAAAGATCTGTGTCAGCCCTAAAGTGCCAATTCAGCCCTTCAAGCTTAAGTCTGATTCAGTCTCTCTTGGAGCCTTTTGAGCACAATTTAAGCCAAAATAGCACTATCAGAAGCATATTCAAGGGCACTTGGACTCACTTCAGTCCGAGGGTATCCAGTAGCTATAAAAACTGTTTCCAACATTTTCACCGCAAAAAACATCAATAGTAAAACCTTTTCTATTATTTTGACCCTGCAATAATATTTGCAGACTAATTATTGTCAAATATGTTATGGTGACTTTTGGACATACAATGTTCAGTTCTGATTGGTTAAAAATTGTTTCATCCAATCAGATGCACTTCCCAGTTCTAGATAGTGATACGTCATCAGTGTGGAATTTCTACGCTCGTTTCTCAGACGTCATTTCGCGGGGAAACCAATGGTGACGTTACGAAATGTCGGCAGTTTTCTCAGGCTAAATTTTATAAAGAAATGTCAGAAAATGATTGGCCTCTTGACAAACTTGTCCTACCAATGGAGCAAAAAAAAAACTATCCTTTGAAAGTAGCAGTTAAAACTCGCAATACAACTAAGAACAATACCATCACAAATCGATGTTACACAATTAACATAAAATTACCTTTTTTTTCTTACATGCAAAGCACCCACATACAAATTGGATTTGCTCCATTGTGATCTGTATGTGCATGTTTTTCACGAAGTTCAAAAGTTTCCTTGGACTAAACGATGCTGACATAGTAGACAGCCTTGCTGCACTGGGCTTAAGCATAATCGCAGTTTGTGTCAGAAATAGGCAATAGTAAACTCCATCCTAAAATGCTTTTTCTAATTGCCTTCCACCACTTATCATATTCCCTAGATGCAATGTTTTAAAACCTAATTAGCTTTGTGTGTGGACAACGATTTCATTTCGTGTAATCAATTAGTTGTACAAATAATGATATTGCGCACTGTAACGTTTGGTGAAGAGATTTATCATTGAAGGTTGGAATTCAACCGGCGCGAGTGGTGAAGCGGATTTCGACGAGGGCTGTTATGTGCTTAAGTTCTGTTAAAAAGCATGATAAAGAGACCAACCTAGTGGAAAAAAGCATCACTTGCTAATTGCAAGCAAAAACAAATCTCTCGAGCCAATGGTTCTACAGTGAATGAATGCTGATGGTGGTAGAAGGTAGCAAGGCGAGAAAAGAGAAATGCACAAGAAAAATTTAAACAAAAGTACAGATTCCATACGAATTGTCCGGGCAACTCAAGTGCGCCTGGAGGAGATCAAAGACAAGATTGATCAAGAAAAACACAAAAGTATGAAATCAAACTATCAAGAAAAGATAAGAATATGGAACGAGCTAAAATTGATTCGTCGTGTGTATGAGCCACTCTACGTGCTTAAGAAGAATCAGTTCAATACGGTGAATAATCAACCCACGGCAAAACTCGACACGGCACAAAATGAAAGGAACAGCGTTTGTAATAGTCGTGCTTATGAGGGATCGAATGCCTTTGTGAAACAGCCACGACTGTTAAATAGGGCGGAAAATCAAAACACTTCTGCTTTCTCGAGAGTACAGAGAAGGCAGACATTTGTGGAGGGAACAACTCTTTTAACGCACAGATCACTTTATCAAGCAAAGTTAGAAACATCAGCGCCCATGCGTGCAAGATCGAGTAGCTGGTCTCCTTCAATAACCAGAGAGCCGAGTGGAGCTTACTCCGCCACGAGCCGGCGAGAACACATCGCCAAACTTCGCAGTGCCACCGAAGAGCCTCACGTTTCTGACTCAATGTCGTCCGTGACAATGGGATATTTGGCTTTTAAGCGAGTGTTGAAGAACAACCGACAATCTGAGAGCATGGAACGTAAGGTAGTGGATTCCAGATTCAGAACAACGTCAATGGACGAAGCGGAACTCAGTGTGAACTCACGGCTTTTGATGCCCGAATCGGGTTCAGACATAAATGCAGTCGAAGAAACGAACGAGTTAGTGCCTGAAACGTCCTGGCTTCAAGAAAACCCTCATCTTGTTAAGAAGGTTAATAAGCCAAGATCCACAATAGGAAAACGTAGTTCCGCGCCAGTTAACAAACTACGAATCCGTTCATCTCTGTCGTGGCCTTTAGCAGAAATGTCTGTGAGATCGCCAGGAAGAGGAGGCCAAAACTTGCATAAGTCAGAAAAACTTTGCGTTAATAGCATCGAAGTACCATCGCGTGCAGCAACTCCAGCAACACAGCAGCCAGAAAAGAAGGCAAAATTGTCGAACAGATGTAAATCGTCTACAACTTGTCAAGTGAATGTAACGGGGTCCAGTGAAAGCGAGGAAGAAGAGATTAAGTTTGGCACATTCGGTGATGAAAGCTTTAAGTTTAAAATTCAAAGCCGAAACAACAAGGCCGCGAGATCGATTAGTGCATCTAAATTATTTAAGCCCTCAGGAACCGGGTGCTTCAGCAGAAGTTTTCAAGCTGTAAGCAAGTGAGATAAATAAATATTCGAGGGTAGAAGTTTGCTTTGAACTAATGCACAGTGTTGCAAAGACGTTGTAGCTGTAAGTTAACTAAATCAGGGTAGGCCCTTCAATAAAAGAGTGCAGGCTCATGATAGTGGCTCATTCATTGTTTGTCTTGTTTTGTTTTTTTTAACCGAAGGCAAAACGAAAACTTGTTAACTCGGAAAGATTCAAGGCCACAGGAAATAATGGTTGTTTACCTTGAGCACTTTTGAGGTTCTTGTGGATGAACTGTCAAAGACAAACGTTTACAAATGTTCTAAAGAGTGTTTTGATATCTACAATATATGCACCTGTACATGAACGTTTTATTACGTATTAAAAGCATTCTGTATAGAACCAGTAATCTACTGCAATTACTCTACACGCCCCTTATTTCATTACATCATGATATAATTTTAACAAGTATGATCTTCATCACTGTTTATGGACCGTTTTTCTATGATAACAATCTTGTGGTTGCAATGCTTTCAACTTATTTTGAAACAAGAACCTGTATAGAACAAAGGAATATTCTAAGAAGAGAGATGACTTGATATCCCTGCGACGCGGAGATTTCCTGTTGTGGTGAAAAGTAAGCGTTTCTGAGTAAACTCAAACATGGTATCCCATGTCTAAAGTCCGAGCTACATTTACTTAATGTATTATGCATATGAGTCGAGCTTGCTCAGTTGTTTGGACTGGCTAATTTTGCCGAGGTGACACTTATTCCGGCATAACATGAAGTGGGCCGGATCAAATCCGCCATGTTTACTGAGATCGGAAGCAGTGCACATGTGCAGTATGTTACCAGCTGTTCAACCTCGTTCCCAGGGGTCCATTTTGTCATGCGCTTAGAATTCTTGATCCCCGTCGCTGACCAAAACGATCACGGCTTCTGGGAACGAGATTGCCAGCTGTTCTGTTGCTGGCACGGTTCACTGGGCTAGTTAAATTGAAAAATTCCAGGAACCCTGCTGTAAACCGGGCTGGCTCAGTTGCCATGTGCTTACAAAGTTGCTTTTTATTGCTTTTAATGAAGGTGCAGAAATCTCGACAATCGAGCCAGTCTGGCTCATGTTATGTAACCATTGTTCTACATGACATTCCGTTCATCGACATCTTCCCAATCTAACCCTCAGTTTTCCTTTCGCGACGACCCGACTGATTTACTCCTCATGACTTAGAACTTTTTATGTCCGTCGAAAATCGAGTTGGAATTAAATAAGGGTGTGGTAATAGTGATATCTTTCGTCGACTCTTTAGACACCAGAAGTCATAAAACCTCTGTACCTCTATTAAATGTCTAATTAAGTAGTTCTTTTTAATTTTTTAGCATAATGACTGAAATGGGCCTCCACAAAATTTACAATGCATGGACAAAATATAATTATAAACATGTGTACATGATTTCACTCTGTTATATACAGTAGTTTTCACTCTTACAGCCACTGATTTCACAAGTTAATCCATTAAGTAAAGTTTGCACTCTATATTTTAGGTAATTCTAAGCGACTAGATCGCTTTTTACTTAATTTATCGACTATGATGTTTCCTGTCTCGTTCGCTGCTTGTTGAGAGGCTGTTACATTTATTCTGGGAAGTTTTGTTTTTACTGATGCAAAGTTTTGGCTAATTGCTTTTTCTTCCTTGGGTTCAGCAACAGGGACATTGTAGACGACTTTATGAATTGTATTTGCCCGTGCTCTTACTAAATCGCCATCATCGGCGCCATGGCTGTCCTCTAAGCCTTTACCATTCTCTGCAGATTTTCCTTTTTTCTTCTGTCCGCCCTCAGGATTTAAAGCTTTAACGGCGTTTTCAACTTTTGGAAGGCCAAACGTCCACGTGAAATATTCAGACTCGTGTGACAATTTCCGTTGCAAAATTTTCGGGACGTTTTTCTGCGTGCAGTTAATCTGTGGTAAAGAAAACTTTTTCTCCAGCATAACAGCAGTTGCACCACGGTTGCCAGGATTTATGGCTTTCATTTCCTTAGCTATGTCGTCAATGCTTTTGTTATCTCTCTGTCTTTGTTTCGCCTCTTTTGCCAAACTTCTCTGCTCGCGCTTGATTCTAAACAACTCATTACGTAGTTCTCGTTCTTCGAGCTTATAAGAGATGTATGTCTGCAGTTTTGAGCGATCTAGATCTTCCTGTAATAGTGATAATTCCTTCTCTCCTTCGTGACACACTACCAATGCCTTTTCATAAACAGATTGCCTCTCTTTATTGCTGTAGTCTCCTGACGGCATCATACAGGTTAATGGGGTTTGCAGGTCTAACAAATACTTCACTGCAGCTTGGGCGCATTTGAGAACTAAGTTGTGAACTTAATAAGGATGTTGCGTTAAGAAGTAAAATCCTTTACGAAAAGTTGAAGTCTTTGTCTCTATATTTCTTTACGACGGCCGTTAACTTAGAGTAAACAACGCTGATGCATCTCCGTACTTCACAATCAGTGCATCAACACTTACTGAGTGAGTCGATGAAGTTGCTTGCGGCTTGCAGCAATTGATGTACGTTTAGCAAATGTCGTACTTGTTTGTGTAAATATTCATAACCTTCTGTTTGCTTGTTTCATTTACCAGGCTTTTATTGTCTGCAGACTTTAATTGTTTTTTTGCTTTTCCCTTTGTACGGGAACTGAAAGTAATTTACCAGTCTTCTTAAGCTCTTAATCAACAACTGGCAAAAGCAAGTCCTTTGTTCTGGTATTGCTTGCCCAAAGTTTTGATTTAGCCGCAAGAGCATGTATACTAAGGTTTTGCTTATGTGAGGTTTTCTATAATGCTGAGTGTGTTTACCATCGCTTACCTTCCGGCAGTTTTCTTTTCATTAAAAGTAAACATTACTTTCGGTTTGAGGAGTAATTGACAAAAACTGGTATTGTCTTCTTCGGTGTAAATTAAAAAAAGAATGGTCGGGTTGTTTATGTAGGCTTAAACGACTGTTGTTTTGCAACGTGGAATTGAAATAGAAAAAATGATCATTTGAAGTATAGACTGATTCGACGGCAAAAGCAGCTGGCAATTAACAAACACCATAATTTTTTCCGGCCACGGGGAGTCCACATTGTTTTGTTAAAACTGAAATAGAAATCATGTAAAGCGACCAAATAGTCGATAAATATATTTACGTAATATTCTCATCCCAGAATTAGAGTTTCTGAGAGATTTTTTCTGTTTCATTGCTCTCTGGATCAATACCATTTGCACGGAAATTAGACAGGGCAGACTTTTAACTTAAGAATAACCTGTTAGTAGAAACTAGAAAAGGAACATATAATTACTTGTGGTCTCATAACTATTTCAAAACCTGAGGAAACGATCTCCAGAATAAAATTTTAAATGTGTTTATAAAGAAAAGTAAATGTTTGAGCGTTTCGTTACCTAGTAACGTCCACGAGTGCATTGGCTGACCAAAGAGCAGTGCTAATCGTAGGCCATATAAAAAAGAAAATTTAGTCGGAACTGACTTGTATTCTTATGTTTTCCAGAGTGAGGACACGTTTCAAATAGTGCCAACGACACAAATTAATGACGCTTACTTAATATTTGTAGAAATGTGAATTATTATAATGTTTCAATTGAAAAAGGTGGCTTCGGAACACAGTCTTAACTAGCAAGATGTGATATTCGAACTGATTTCATTGACATTTTCAGAATACGGAAAATTTGGAAACCTACAGGTTATAATTGTACAATTTACAAATATAAAGAATGCGGAAATGTTAAGGTAAAAGGATGTTCAGCTTAATGATTTATTAAAGGAACACAGGATAATTTGAGATAAAATAAGGAGACGATAAGAAAGGAAAGTCAAAGAACGGACCAGCTAAAAATAAGCCGGACCGAGATAATCTCTTTTTCTCAGTGGCCAAGAAAGACTGGCCTCGCTCTTAACTATTACATCCAGTGGATATATACCAGTTTAAAATGAAGGGAAAAAGGCACAAGAAAGGACCTGGGAGTTGCAAGGAAAATATTAGCTGCAAATTCAAAGTTCTATCGCAGCGAGCTTCTTTCTTTTTTTAATTTTATTTTTTTGGCTGGAAAGACTTTGAGCTTTCAAGAAGTACCATAGGCTTAGATTTGGTTCTTCGAATGATTATTTCGTAAGTGAACATTGTGTGTACAATGTTAAATCCCATGTATTCGCTTAAAGTAATAACCAATCTGTTGCCGCGACTACCGGACATCTGGATCAAAAAAAGAGCTTTGAAGCACAAAAGAAACGTGCGCTTAGTGCTAACAGGGCTCTTATCATTAAGCTTATTTGAGCCAGTTTTTATCGTAATGAAGACCCCTTGGGAATATCTCGAGTAGAGTCATTTGACAAAAGTTAGCTTACTGTAAACTCAGCAATTAACGATAAACGTGTGACTAAAACGTACATATGGGTCCTTCTACATGGAAAAGAGAACAACAGTACATTTCTTGTTGCACTGGATACTCCCTGAAACACGGGAGAACGAGTACATCTTAAAACTTGAACAATTCTTCAGCTAGATTCTTACAAACGAGACGGGCTTGTCGGGCCCCAAACAAAAGTAAGTTAAAGACAAAGTTAACAAATTGCATAGGCGCTTGGAAGCAAACTGGTGAAACAGATCGCGGTTAAGAGCTGTTAAGAGAAGGGTGTGAAATTAGTACAACGACAAAGATACCGTCCAAATACACACAAAGTAATCAAGAACTAAACAAGTACAATAACTTTACGCAGACTGCAATTTAGTTCCACATCATGGCGTTCGACGGCTCTGCAAATACGAACACCGCTCTACAGAGTTCTGTCGCCTTTCTTCAAATCCAGAAAAATGCGAGCCTGAAGAGGTCAACGTCGATGAATGAGGACGTTTTTCGAATTTTCCGACAGACTGGTAGACGGATTGCTCTGATAAAGCAACAGGTGGAGAGAGAACGCTGTACATATTTAAAGGATTCATACACAGAGAAAAATCAACTTTATAAAGAACTTGCGGGGATTTTTCATTCCAAGAAGACTCTCATGGAAAAGAACCGACAAATTAGGGGAGATGCAAATTCGGCTGTATCTTTACCTGCATTGCGTTCGCGTGTAAGTCTTACAGAAGGTACTAATTGCAACAATGACTGCGATAAACAATTCAGTGCCCATAAAACGTTGAAGGAATTGCGTTCAATCAATGTCAATGTGCTAAAGCGATGCGAGTGTTGCAGACGACGGGCTTTTCGAACTGTTGACAGTGAGGATGATGTGGACGATGGATTCGACGAAGACGCTTTTCAGTGCGAGAACAATGGTCAGGCTCCCGATGACAAAACACAAGACAAAGCGAGGAGAAGGAAAAGCCAAGTTAACAAGGAGAAGAAGACGTTGGTTCAGTTTAGTAGGTGTGATGATGTTAGAATACCCACAACACAGCGAGTTCAAGCTGGAATGTGGGCTTTAAAAAAGCAGACATATGGGCGATCTCAACCAATGAAGAAAAAATCGGTGAGTTTTCAAGTGAATGGATCCACAACAAAGTTACATCCTGCCGAGGAGAAAGCTGCTTCGACTACTCCAAGTCTAACTGCATCTACCAGACCAACACTCAAATCCAGGGCAAGCATTAAACTTGAATGTCAAGCCAACAAAAACAACGCAAGGCTACACCTGGAGGGCAATGACTGGACCTCTCACGTTGAAACCGTACAAGAGAGAAAAATCAACAGTAGTAATACAATCTCGGGATTATCAAAAGCTTATTGCGCTTTCAGAAACTTACTCAGGAAATTGGAAGAAGAAAATCAGGGGGAGGAAGTCGCTGATGATGAAGATGATAGATGTGAAAGTCATGAGGATTTGTGTGCCAGTCGACCAGCATCCAACATGTCCAGAACAGACTCGAGATGGCTTCCTTTGCGCCGGTGTTCGGACACGCTTTCTCTTCGCCTGAATTCATGGACTACTGGAGGTTTGGAGCCAGCTTGCATGGAAAGTTTTAATGAAAAAGGTGAAGGCGCAGATCAGGACACTTTGACACCAGGACATAGCTTTAATCTGGATTGACTGGAACTGTTTTCAAATCACTAACTTTAGAAATTATAAGTCATTTTATAGGATTCTCCATGCACAAGCTTGTACTTAACAGTTAAGCTATTTTGACCAATTAAAATTGTGCTCACAGCTACCCCAACTCTTAAGCCTCTGTTTTTTTTTTTTGCTTTTCGTTTTATGGTCCTTTAATGAATGTAATCAAAGCAGCCCAAAAATTTCCCGGAATTCGGGAAAGTTTTGCTTCTGGAATCCGGAATCCTAGGCTTTGGAATCCGGAATTCAGCTCAAGGAATCCGGAATCCCACTAACGATTGGGATTAGGACTCCAAGTTCCAACGATCAGGAATCCGGAATCCAGTATCTCGAATCCGAAAAAGCCAAGACTGTCTTGGATGAACTTACGTGATAAGATTCTTGTCATGAGTATACCAATGGTATCACACAGTCGTTAATTGCTATCAGGCACTACGCGAATCACGCAGAACAAAAGCGCATAAGACCATCCCACTGCGCAAATGAAAGAAAGGACTGCGTAAACCTTTTTGCCGGCCATAATTAAAAGAAAGGCGCTGTCAAACAGGCATAGTTATTCCTTGCGCAAGGTTAAGCTAACAAATCCCTGATGCAGCAAAGGCGAAATAAGCAGCCAATGGCCTCCCCCTTTTGTCATCATGATTCACCAAGCTTTAAGATCAATACCATAGTTTTAAACAAAACAATATATTTTTACTTTGAAAACCACAGATGTGGAACGAGTAACTCGTTGTTTAACTCTGACGCAATTTGAACTGAGCAGGCGTTTCAACTAGGACTGAGTCTCTTTGTTGGTACTGATATTTAAAAAATGGCAGACGGACGTTCAAAATTGAAAGATCTTCCCAGTGCCTTTGAGAAAAGACACGAAATTCTCCGCTGTCGCCTCTCCAAGCTAGGGTTCGAATCCGAGGGCACAAATGGAGACCAAAATTTTGACAGTGCGACCCCAGAAGGCCACGAAAAACATAAACGTTTAGTTAGCACGAATATAGTAAGCAGTGCTCGTAGTCGTCAAAATGCTCCTTTGCATCTACAATTACGAAGAAGGCATTCGGGTGACATAAGCAGCCTATCGACAACGCTAAACGGCCCAAGAAGACGTGCAATGTCACTTTATTCGTCAATCTCAGAACTTCCTAAACTACCCTTGGGAAGACGTGCGAGTGATCCAGCATCGAGAGCAAGCAACGCCACCTACCAGTTGTACCAGCCCGGCAATAGAGTTAGCATACGAGAAGTCTTACCGGAGAACCCAGAACGTTCATCTCGTGGGTTGACAACCATACAACGCCGTGCCAGCAGTGCGAGTACCTACCGTGATTCGAACTGGAGGGTCAAATTACACAACAGAAGTATAAGCATCGACAACGACGACGACGAAAGGAGTCACTTGGCAAATAGTCTGTCGAGGAGGAGTTCGAGTTCTTCTGGGTTTTCAAGTCAGTCGAGTCTCTTCTGAAAATCTATTCTTTTCGCACTCAAAGGAGCTGTGTTATGAAATTTACAAAACTTCAAACAGTGGGAATTGTCACCCGAAACTTTAAAATAACTACACAGAACACGAAAAAAGGTATAAATAACAAAGCACGGAGGCGCGGATGGACAGACAATAGTGCAACTGTGATTTTTGAAAACTTCTTAGCCTAACAGTTTTTTAAAGCTCATTTTTTTTGTTTGTAACATTTGTTATATTTATGCTTGGGAGACATCTTTGTTTGCCGTTACACGAAGCCATGATTTTGTCATGAATGAGGAGGCGTCAGAGGCGTAATGGGCACGATTAACAAAATGAACTAGACAGCCCCCAGCTCTTTAAGTTGTCGGATGATGCATGCGTAGAAGAACGAATACGATGTGTCGAATGCTCACATGCCTGAATTATCGTTCAAGGATGGATGAGGCAGCTTTAAGAGGGCCAATTAATTTTGTAAAATTTAAAGTGGCTCTCAACTCCTCTTAATTAGCTCTTTTTCCCAGTGTTTTTGAATTTTAAATTTCTGATCACCACAGGCTGATGGTAATTAATTGAGGTGTCTGTTATTCTGTTACACTGTTTCTGTGGTGACTTAAATGAGGTATTGTTTGACATTGATTAGGCATTTGTCGGATAACCTGACTTTAATATCATCAGTGCAGAGAGACGAATTTGCCGATCCATCATAGTGTACGATAAACGAAACGATGCTCAGCAAACCACTACTTGTCTCGAAATCAAATCTGGATTGTTTTATCATGGTTTAAACACACGCGACCCTTTATAACGCAGCGCCCCTTGATTAAGCGGCTAGTTATCAAAGCCCTGGCGGACGCCGAAATTGCCAGTCAACATATAAAGCGGTTACTTGTTGCTTCCCCGAACATGGGCTCTTAAAAGAGGTTGGATCTACATTTAACCTTAAACTACAGAAGAGGAAAAAATACAGAAACACATTACAAGGTGACAGCCAATCAGAGTTCGCGAAAACCACTGTCTGACTGGTTTGTTTTAATTTAGAGCTTTTGTTTAAGAGCTTGCAAATGTGGGCTGAATTTATTGTCTTTAATTAAACCTTGCGCATTGTTTTAAACAACTGTACTTTGAAAACCAACAATATGAATTACTTATTCCTTTCAGACAATAAAAGTGCACCAGTGCTTTTATTTGAAAATAAAAGATGCGGTTAAAGAAGGGCACGAAAATGTCCGCGTACGTGATATGGTTTCGTAATGAACCTTCACTAGAAAACATATACTGTACCCGCAGGTATTTTGTCATGTAACATAGAACATTAAGTACATTTATACAATTGAATGAATGAATAATTGCTAAATTTAAGTGATAAAATTTCTCTTTCTTTTTCGTGACGCAAAAACTAGTTTACTCGTTCTTCCAAAACAATTTTAAGTATTTTGAGGACTTAAAAATACATACTTCCTGACCTTAAAAGCTTGATGAAGTGTCGCAAGAAATCCACCCTACAAGAATGGCAGAAAAGCAAACCGTGCGTGAAATACAAACTACCACGCAATAAAGACGAGGTGCGCAGTTCTTTATTTCGGCAACAGGAAATCAGAAGCTGTTGACCAGATGTAAAATGCCTGTAGGATTTGAGCCCAGAGGGACTTTTCCGTCCAAAATTCAGTCACATGCTAGCTGGGCCTCTTTTCCCAGACTCAGACTAGATTAATTACACATGTCCACACGTAAAGGGCGTTTTCGGGCACCAAAAACGCAAGTTTCCGAAGACGGTCCCCAGAGTGGAGACTTAAAAAACCTGGATTGTCTTTTTCGTGTGGACGTACAGAAATTGAAGTTTTCGAATACGATGTTGTCATACATCGTACGGCGCACATGCTCTTCAAGGAACTTTAATGTATTTGCATCGTTTTAGCATTATCGTGTGGACAGGCAAAATAGTCTAAATCAGCTTCGTGTGGATGCGTACGATGAATACGTGTGCGCGAGGCATTACAGAGGCAGCAAGTTAAACGCGCGTAATGAAGAAGATTAGTGCAAAGCTTCCAAAAACGTGGCGTGAGACTCATGCACGTGCCAATGATTTGTACACCGTCCGGAACAGTGATATAGTCATTATCATATGGTTTATTTCCAGTGGTCAATTAAAGAAAACTTTTACAAGCGTAATTTACAAGTGAAACCATTGTTTTAAAGTCTTAAACAATAGCTACACTATGTCTTGTAAATTAACAAAGTTTTATTAATTTGACCCCGGGTGTTGTTTTTACAGCCATTTTTCTTGACCTGCCTTATGGTTTCTAGCAAAATGGGATAAAAGAAGTTCTTTTAGGCTCGATTTTGCTTGGGAGGTGAAGGATCAAGACCAATCAGAAAAAGGGTCATTATAGGTGTGGAGTGGAATCTTCTCTTGGGAATTCGTAACAACCTTTCTGTTTCGTAACCCAATCTCGAAGTAAATCATAAGCGATTCAAACGAAATAATCGTGTTTGTTTTTCAAACTGTTTTGCTTTGAGTTTTGAGAATTGTTTATTACATTTAATAATTAATTGGAAGGGTTTTCCAAGTCCTTTAGACCGTTTGAATGCAAGGATTTTTTCTCATTTTATAACGTTTAAACTATTCGCTCGAAACAGGTCGTCCAGGACAGGTCGTATTCTACAGCTTTCGAGAAAGGTTGTCGGAAAAAATGTGCACGCGATAATCCAGAAAGGTAATCAGTGGAATATGATCAACACATTGTTCCCGACACTGTAGCTGTCGAAACTACTCTAGCACTCGCAAACATACGTCCATGGGCTCTCCTACTATTCTTTCAAATTTCCTTGAAGAACTTGTCTATGAGTGAATGCAAAACCATCCACAATACCTTTCGGGATTGTAGCGTGCTCTTTTTCCGACAACCTTTCTCGAAATAGCTGTATACAACTCAAAATGAGCGAAAGTTCCAGTTAACAACCGGTTAAAACGTACTTTTCTGCTGGTAGAAAGATCTTTCAGAAAGGTCAGAAAGACCTCAGTTTAAAACTAGGTAGATACTTATTCAGTCTAGTTTGGTTTCAAACTGAACTAAATTATCCCTTAATTTCTACTCAGCGTTTACTTTTGTGATGTGTTACATTTTTTTCTTGCAATGCTCCGACAAGGGAATTTGTTCGATCAATTTTAGGGAGTGCATTATATGGTCCATTTGCAGTTTGGTGGGTAAAATTGGAAATGTTCGGCAGGCTGGTACGCCGGCGGGTTTGACCACCCTGCAGCCCTGAATTATCATCGTCCTCATCAAGATCTATGGACCAGTGATGAAGCTTTACCCGCCAAGAAGATTGCTTTTCACGGGTCGATGTTAAGGATGCACTTCGGTGCTTGGCAAACAGTTTAGAAGGAGCGTTTTGATGTGTCATATTTCGTTGTGCTCCCGTTGAAAATCTTCTTTGCTGGACCAAGTTTGAGCTACCCGAAACCCGCGTAGAATTCGGCGCCCTCCAACCGCTTCTCTCGGGAATTTCATTGATACAATGTAATCCACTTCCCACAGCATCCTGAATGTGGCCCCTTGAGTGTCTGCGCGGTGCGGAATTCGTCTTAGTGGGAACGCTGTATTGAATGTCCACGGCAACAAGTTCTAAAGAGGGAAATGAATTCCGTCTTACTCGTTGCGAATACTGGCTAAATTCCCTTACCACATCCCCAGGTGTGAGATCGCTCGAATTTCTACCACGTTTCTCTAAGTCTTCATTATCTACGACGCCCTTAGACGTTTCACTTTCTCGTAGATTTGTTTGTTGTAACTTCATAGCGGAGAAACTATCCCTCACTGTCTGGAATTCAGTGCTTGCTGCAGAGCCATGTGATGCAGAATTGCTGATCGATGCATTGTTACAAATACACTCGGGTGGAACGGACGCCATTTTGGAGAAACTATCCATGAAGGGACTTTTCAAACAATTTTCCAATCTAGTACACTAAGCTCTTCACCTTAGCGTCAAATGCGAGGCCTCAAAACTAAAACGTGCTTAGAATCCTAGTCAAAATGCAAAATCAAGTGAGTTAGTGACGTTTTGTGCCTGTTTCCTTTGGATCCTATAATAGTTTTGCTTTGTTCCTAGAGAGGGCTAATTACTAAGAAACAAGGTCACCCATATAAGAGTTGTCACAACAGAGGTCAGAATTCTTATTGTTGAGTACCTTTGGGATATGTTATTTTGACTTTATTTTTGGATTGCATTCTTTGAATTTAGTTCCTCCTGGTCTTATTTAGGAACAATTGGCAACATTTCCGGCCTCCTTAAAAAAAAAACCAAAAACAAAGACAACTTTTGTAGCTTTGCTTTGTTCCCTGGAGAAAGCTAATTACTAAGAGACGAGGTCACTCAAAAGGGTTGTCACAACAAAGGCAGAGCTCGATGAGTGTTTGTGAGTCCCTCTGGGATACGTTGTTTTAACTTTCTGTATAAACTGCGTACTTTGAATTTAGTCCCGCCTATTCTTTTTTGAAACCATCAAGCAACATTTCCGGTCTCCTAACATGTCCTAAAGAAAGAACATAATACACATTCAATTTACCGCTTAATTGTTCGTAAACTTATACTGATCACGAGGAAATTGAGAAATCAATTGTTATAATAGGTAGACCAGGTGTCAGCATAAACTAGAACCGCCATCTTAGCCCTTGGTATGAGTCAGAATTTTTTTTTTTGCTTGCGAGCGGCAATATCGATGTTCGTAAATTGGAAACTACGCATGAAACGGCTCTGGCACCAGGGAACCCCACCTGGGAAGTAAACGCTCTCCAAACGTGGTCATAGTGTTCTAATAGAACTTCGCTTCAGGTTTCTCCGATTAAGCATAAGTTCAGTGAACTCGAACATCGGATGTGAACGAAAACTCTTTTAATTCGAATCACCCCAGCCCACATCATAGTACAGCCTTCTTAGCTGAAGAAGAATCTGTGGGATCCCCTGCAGCTATGTTATGCAGAATCGATAGCCGCCGATACAAAAGGTAAATTATCTTCTAAACCAATTTATATAAACTGATTACCAGGGCCAATTTTTCACCAGTAAATGGAGAGAGTTATGCGAGCCTGAGGGAGATAAAAAAATAACGTAATACACGCTCTGAGTGAATGAAGACGCACAACTACTTTCGTTGCAATTCAATGTGACCATCTGTTCATTAATTTTAAAGTTCGTCTAGTTTCTAAGCCACGAGTGAACTTCTTCGGCCAGTGGGTAGGATAGTAGTTCCTCGGGTCTGTCCAGCGAAATTTGAATTGATAGTGGGCAGACTGGTTCGTGGATTTTTTAAATTTCGGTGGCGCAAAGGATTGTAAAGGTTACTTTCACAGTCGTCGTCGATATTGAGAGACCTTTGATGGATCAATACACGCCACTTTGTAGAGCTGTTTTCGTTACACGTCGAGCAAGACGCTCTTCTTTGCTTCGTGCTAAAGGCAAAATTGGTGTTTGGAGGTTTATTGCTTTTTGCTCCGACTGAAAACCGCCTTGTCGGTAACAAATTTGAGCTACCTCCGACATGACGAGATCCAAACGAATTAGTTTACGTCCCTTTAGAGTGAACGGAATTCGCTTCTTTCTTTGAAATTTCATTAATTCTGTATAACTTGCTCTCCGCTGTATCACTCGCCAAGGTCGAGGGGAAACCATACGATCTGGAATTCTTCTTAGAGGGGGGGATGCTGTATTGAATATCCACTGCAACAAGTCCAAGGGATGGCAGGGATTTGCGACGTTCTCTATGCGGAGACGTAGATACTGCCGTTCCCAGATCTACTGAAGCAAACTCGCTTAAACATTGTCGTCTTTGAACCAACTTTTTCGTATCGATACTTTCTTCAACAGACTTTGTCGATCCTTTTTCTTGTCGTTTCGTTTCGTTTATTTCCATGGCGGAAAACGTGTCCAATGCGGCCTGAAATTCGGTGCTTCCTGAGCTTATAGACTGTTCCGTTCCTGGTCTGCTGGTCCGCGTGTTGGGAATCATAATTCCTGACAGGTCAGTTACCTTAAATGGATTACATGGTCTTAACCCTCGATAATCTGGATCCATGACATAAAATTCTCCATTAAGCCATTCGTCACAAGCATCGCTGAAAAAAGGTATTAACAGATGTCAGTTATTTATAATATTTATCGTATTTATTCGATAAAGCGCCCAACCTCGAATAAGCACTCACCCTTTAGGTATCAATTATAGTTAGTGCAGGTTTTTGCGTTTTGTTGGCTAGTTTTGCCGTTTAGAAAAAGGAAGAAGCTGAAAACATGTAATTGTGTTGTATTTCTTACAAATTATTATCCTTTTGAAAATCTCAGCCTCGGGTTTATTCTAAAAAAATTTTAGAATAATTATTCGAGGCTGGGCTCTTATAAACTTTTCCTACCCCAATACATTCTAAAACGGACATGTCATAAGCTATAATGTAAGAGTATAATGCAAGAATATTTTCAGCCTAAAATCGGCAGAATTTAGCCCAGGGTGCTAATGAAATGGAATGAATACGGTACTAGTAAATCTTCCTTGTTCAATTACGTTTGTTTGCAACGCTACTTAAGAGAAGGCGCAACCGGTTTGGAATATTTTTTTCATTACAAAGTCGCCCTTATGGCCAAGTGAAAGTGAGCCCTCAGGCAAAAAGAATGGAAAACACTGATGGCAGGAAAAACAGACCAAATAAGCTTTTGCCGCTGCAGCAGTTATATCAACCCAATTTAGAATTGGTGACTCATTATGATCTTTTGTAGCACTCTTGCTAATCAGTGTAGGTTAGTCCCAATTGAATTGCACATTACAGAGCAAGTCAGTGACGACAGTCATCGTCTTCGGTTAGCTTCCCTTTAGTGGTTTTACTACTCACCTGCCTCTCCGATAATATGATAGCGGCATGCCTGTGTAGCCCAATATATCACCTACAAGTAATATTCACAAGCCATATTTATTCGATTAATTTTGGCAAAGAGCGTATTATAGGAATTTAAAATGATAGGAAAGTAAAAAAGATATACATCCCTAGTGCAGTACAGTGTTGTGTTTTTCTTAGCGCACTCTGGCAAATTACACTAGGATATATTTCAGACTTCGGCTTGGAAATACACCAGAAGACACTGAGAAGAGACCAAATCAGACCTGACCGGAATTCTCAAAACAGAATTTGTCCTAATTGCTAACTTACTCTACCGTCTTTACCATAAAATTCACGCAGGTAGAGCTGAGCGAGGAGAAGAGTAAAGAGAGGAGACTTAAAGAGGACTTTGACTCCAGGAAGGAGCTAATATAGTCACTGCTGGTTTTACACGAGGTTTCCTGGACCGATACAGAACTATTCAAAGCACGTGAATTAAAAGTTAAACGCCCGTTATCTTGCTTAGGTATGGAAGACCACACCCCATGATCTTTGGTAAAATGAACAGGGATATGACGCTAACAATAGTGAGAAGTTAAAAATACCGGATAACCGTCAGTGGTAACCGCATAAACGAATAATGCGTCCAAAGGCCCTGAGCCAATGGTGCAAGGCGCTTGGCAATATTTAGGCAGAACAAGATTATTGTGACTTACCGGAACGATTTTGAGAGGAGAACTTACAAAGTGCTTCCACGTGCTTTTCGATCGCCCGTTTGCTTCACGGTACGTAGGTTATGTAATCACCCTGTTACATAACGTAACGCGGATACATTCTTTTTTTAGAGCTTTACAAAATTAATGACCCCTTTTTCTTCATCTAATTGAATAGATTGAATTCGGAGATAACAAACAGGTGTAAATGAGACAAAAATAAGAGACTTCTTACAAAGAAGCCTTACCAGGTAAACANAAAGTCGCCCTTATGGCCAAGTGAAAGTGAGCCCTCAGGCAAAAAGAATGGAAAACACTGATGGCAGGAAAAACAGACCAAATAAGCTTTTGCCGCTGCAGCAGTTATATCAACCCAATTTAGAATTGGTGACTCATTATGATCTTTTGTAGCACTCTTGCTAATCAGTGTAGGTTAGTCCTAATTGAATTGCACATTACAGAGCAAGTCAGTGACGACAGTCATCGTCTTCGGTTAGCTTCCCTTTAGTGGTTTTACTACTCACCTGCCTCTCCGATAATATGATAGCGGCATGCCTGTGTAGCCCAATATATCACCTACAAGTAATATTCACAAGCCATATTTATTCTATTAATTTTGGCAAAGAGCGTATTATAGGAATTTAAAATGATAGGAAAGTAAGAAAGATATACATCTCTAGTGCAGTACAGTGTTGTGTTTTTCTTAGCGCACTCTGGCAAATTACACTAGGATATATTTCAGACTTCGGCTTGGAAATACACCAGAAGAGACCAAATCAGACCTGACCGGAATTCTCAAAACAGAATTTGTCCTAATTGCTAACTTACTCTTACCGTCTTTACCATAAAATTCACGCAGGTAGAGCTGAGCGAGGAGAAGAGTAAAGAGAGGAGACTTAAAGAGGACTTTGACTCCAGGAAGGAGCTAATATAGTCACTGCTGGTTTTACACGAGGTTTCCTGGACCGATACAGAACTATTCAAAGCACGTGAATTAAAAGTTAAACGCCCGTTATCTTGCTTAGGTATGGAAGACCACACCCCATGATCTTTGGTAAAATGAACAGGGATATGACGCTAACAATAGTGAGAAGTTAAAAATACCGGATAACCGTCAGTGGTAACCGCATAAACGAATAATGCGTCCAAAGGCCCTGAGCCAATGGTGCAAGGCGCTTGGCAATATTTAGGCAGAACAAGATTATTGTGACTTACCGGAACGATTTTGAGAGGAGAACTTACAAAGTGCTTCCACGTGCTTTTCGATCGCCCGTTTGCTTCACGGTACGTAGGTTATGTAATCACCCTGTTACATAACGTAACGCGGATACATTCTTTTTTTAGAGCTTTACAAAATTAATGACCCCTTTTTCTTCATCTAATTGAATAGATTGAATTCGGAGATAACAAACAGGTGTAAATGAGACAAAAATAAGAGACTTCTTACAAAGAAGCCTTACCAGGTAAACATAAGTAAACAGGATTAACTATTTTGAAATCAAACTAGGCGGCAATTGCATCATAAAAATCATCAGCCTTACGGTGACTCTTTACAATATCGCATTTTTTGGTTCAAACTAGCAATATTCCTTCGCAAAAAGGTACTCTACTAGAAAACAATCTAAGGGTGAAAGCTCTGATGGAGGCGAACATTTTAATAGATAGTAATTAGTTTGTTAAGTGTTCTTCTATTGAAATCAAATTCTATTCAATGCCTTCCCTCGTCATAATTTATAAAAAGAAAAAAATATTGATAAGAACAAGAAAGTAAATTCCTTTTAATGAGGAGTCCTCCCGTGCAAAGTACTTTGACTGTATATAGTTTAAAAGTTAATTAAACTTGAACGGCCGGCGACTGCTAAAAGCGTTCATTGTTAAGGACAGTGCACGTGGGTATGTATGCCTCTTGGCAACAATGAAAAGGTGATTATTTTTTAAATTATATTCAGCTTGAACTTAAATAAAATACACTGAATTTAAGGGCCTGTTTACATGGAGGTGGGGGACCCCAGGGAGGTGAGGTAACCCCCTTAGGTGTGGTAACCCGCCTGTCCATATAATCTCTAATTTAAATGTGATCACGTTTACATGTTAGGTGGGGTGACCCGCCACATGTTACCTCACCTACCTGGGGTCCCCGGCCTTCGCCAAAACCTTATCCTCGATCCTCGCTATCTTTGCCCGCGCTTTTAAATGATTGATGGGATAAAAGCTATGTCACATGGCATTTCAGGGGGGCATTAACAAGCGGCAAAATTTGCCATTACGAGAAATCGCGGTTGAAGGGAAAGAGATATTATACGGAGGAGATAAACTAAATACACGCTCTGGGTGAATTAAGTGACACGACTACTTTCGTTAGAGTGATTTTACTTGAACCGTGAAACAAATACTAACAAATAGTGCAAATTAACGAGAGGTAAACAAAAGAAGGGAATACAATTGGTGTATAATAGTGCGTAGTATTCTATTACCTATTTCACGGTTCAAGTAAAATCACTTTATAATTCAATGTGACCATTTGTTCATTATTTTCACAGTTCGTCTAGTTTCTTTGCCACCAGTGAATCTCGTTGGCCAACTTTGGGTAAGATAGTACTTCCAACAGTCTGTCCAGCGAAATTTGAATTGATATTGGGCAGACTGGTTCGTCGATTTCTTAAATTCCGACGGAGAAAAGGGTTATAAAGATAACTGTCACAGTCGTCGTCAATATTTAGAGACCTTTGATGAATGGATACGCGCCACTTTATAGAGTCTTTTGCCTTACACGTCGTGCAAGAAGCTCTTCTTTGCTTCGTGCTAAAGGCAATATTAGAGTTTGGAGCTTTGATACCCTGAGCTCCCACTGAAAACCGCCTTCTTGGTAACACATTTGAGCTACCTCCGACACGAAGAGAGTCAAGCGATTTAGTCAACTTCCTTTTAGAGTAAACGGGATTCGATTCAGTCTTAAAAATTTCATTAATTCTGTACAACTCGCTCTCCGCTGTATCACATCCCAAATTCTCAGGGAAGCCATACGATCTGGAATTCTTCTTAGAGGGAATGCTGTATTGAATATCAACTGCAACAAGTCCGAGTGATGGCAAAGATTTGCGACGTCCTCTATGCGCAGGCGCGGATACTCCCATTGCCAGATCTGCGGGAGCAAGTTCGCTTAAACTCGGTCTTCTTTGAACCAATTTTTCAACAGTTTCATCAGCACAGTTTTTCGTTTCCTTTTCTTGCGCTTCCATTTTGCTTATTTTCATGGTGGAAAACTCCTCCAATGCGGCCAGAAATTCGCTGCTTCTCGAACTTAAAGAATTCTCCGTTCCAGGTCTGCTGGTCCGCCTGTCATGACTAATTCCTGACAGGTCGCTGACCTTAAGAGGATTAGATGCTCTAAAACCCCGATAATCCGGATCCATGACATTAAAGTCTTCTTTAGGCCACCCGTCACAAGCATCACTGAAAAAAGAAATTTAAAGGCAGTTAATTTTCGCGTATACTTCTCCGCTGTTTCCCCGTTTGTTTTGAACAGATTACAGACTGTCTGTGGTTTGGTACGTCCGTGTAATGTTTTCCACCACCACGCGGGGTACGTCTATTTAGTAAAGGGTCACATTTTTTGAGAAACTGATTGTTGGGTGTAAGATTTTTTTTTAACTAGGAACAGACTACTCTTAAGAAAGGGGGGTTTGGGGGGTTTTTTTCAGTTATGGGAAAAAAAAAAAACGGGAAAAACTCCTGGAAAAGGTTAAGGGTCCCCGCCCCCCCCGCGCCACCCCCCCCCAGAAAATTCCTAAATGCCCCCCCCCCCCCCCCCGGGGAAGTCAAGTGGAACATTTTGACGTCTTTTTTTATGGTTTATAGAATAGACAATGGCAAGTTATAAGAGTGTAGAGCATGGAAAATTGTCTCGGTTTTTTATGGTTGTTTTTGCCTTTTTGTTTGTTTAAAAGCTTTGAACGCCCGATTCTGGAGAATTTTTTTGAGAACTTTGGCGCGAGAGGAGATAATTTGCGCCATTAGAGAGATTAAGATTCACGTTTACGGCACACGGCAAACGGCAAACGTCAGTTGAGAATTTCTCAAAATAGAAAATAAGCAGATAAAGACAGTCCAGAGCGATTCTTTTGGATAAAACTGGCATAAATTTACCTATTTTTGTGTAGAAGCAATAAACAGTAAACGAAAAATAAGGGGGAAACTTGGTCACGTGGTACAAATTCACGTTTGCCGTTTGGCGTAAACGTGAAACTTAATCTCTCTATTATCACGTTATTTCCATGGTCCCATCTGTCATAGACCACTTAAGCTCTCGACCAATCAGGGCTTGAGAAATCGCCCAGTCATTGAAGAATAGTTATAGTCAAAATTGCAACGAAGTATGTGAAACTGGCTAAAATAGCGAGGAAAGAAAAAAAAATTCTTAAAAATTCTTTCATGCAGTTTCAAACGGCTCCTTTTGAATTTGGCAGCCGATTACGATCTTAATCATCCGCCGTTAGTACCATGTAAAATGAAAAAAAAAATGGGACCACAATTCCCCAGCCGTCCTTTTAATTGTTAAGACTCACCTTCCTCTCCGTCCATACGATAACGGCATATCCGAGAAACCTAACACTGCCCTATAAGGAATATTTGCAAACCAACAGTTACTCGTTCAGCTCGTTATAATTTCTTGTTAAAGCTTATGGACGCATTTCCTATGGCAGAACAAGTTTATGCAGTGAACCAATGATTATCTCGGTCGCTTATAAGCAGTATTTGACAATCGGATAGTTTATGGCTTACACTGAAGTGCTTTAAGCAAAAAAAAAAGAGCGTCGGACGGACGACAATGGAACGACATGAACAAATCAAATGCACCCATTCTGAGCGTAGTATGGCATTTCGTGGCGGGTATGAATTGATCAGGCCTCATTTGTTCAAAAGGTAGTTAGCGCTAGCTACTGGAAGGATAACACAATTGGTTTCCCTTGCATTCATCCACTGGATAGTGATTTATCCGATGGATAACGCTCTCCAGGTTTTGAATAACTGGGCTTCTATCTCATTCGTTAGAATTTCCAAGAAGCGTTCCTCAGTCGGGCCCTCGGCGCTCTAGCGGTCGACTTGAGGCAAGTCCATCAGTGAATTTCAGAACATGTAATTTAAGATTGTGCACCAGTTACAAATCTCACTGGGCAAATGTGTAAAAAGGAAAAAATTCTTTAATGACTTACCAGAACGACTTCAACAATAAAACTTGCTGTTTCTTTAACGCTCTTTTTCGGGCAGGGCTGTTAGCTGAACGTTACTCCACAGCTAAAACTCACTGACAGAGTTTACTTTGCGGGTACCGTATTGTTTATATGGTGTGTCTATGGCGCAATCCTTTGTTAATCGTAACAAAAGAACTGACCTTAATTGTCTTCAGCAAATAGAGTATATTGGATTTGGATATAACAAAAAAAGGGCAAATGAGGCATATGATGAAAATAAAAGACGTCTCACATTAAGCAGCATCAGTGTAATAGGATTAAAAACGTGACTATATTGAAATCATGGGGACTATTGATAAAATAGTTAGTCACGGTACCTCTCATCAACATCAAACTTAAAGTTTCCCCGCGCAAGTAAGGACTAAAAAGTTCACACTTTAGGTATCTAAACAATAGGAAAGGTAGAAGCTGGTTGACTAAGTGACTTGCATGAACTCGTTCATTTAGTTGCAATGTATTTCTGTACGCCAACCTTCATTCTGCATGTTAACAAAAAATTACCGTAAAATTCCGACAATAAGCCCCGGGGCTTATATTTTTCAAAGGCCCTTTTTGAGGGGCTTACTTTTGGAGGGGCTTATATTCGGAGGGGCTTATGTACGGAGGGAAATTTGCGTTTCAAAATCGATTGGGATAGCTTGCAGTGGGAAGGAAATTTACCATTTTTGCTTTGTTTTACTTTGAATTCCAGGGCAAATTCCAAGTACAAGGCCCCCGGGGGGCTTATATTCGGAGGGGTTATACATGAAGGGGCTTATTTTCGGAATTTTACGGGTATCTTACCTTCCCATCCGCCTTGATATTGAGTGAATAGTTTGTTAAAATCAGTAAAATGTTCATGGAGGTGTTCGTGGTTGAGCGATATTTAATATTCCAAGGCCACCAAAACCATGAGATCTTGGCTTTTTTCTCCAAGGAGGTTACCCCTTGATTGTTTTGTTAAAATTTAATTTTTTTTTCCCAATATAGGAAATTATGCTTAGGGATGTTTTGGAGAACTGACAGTTCTTCCTTGACCGTTTCATACCAAGGTTTCGATTTTGACACAAAATCAAGTGCCGCTTAAAAGCAATGAGTACGTTTTACTCACACATTAGCGAATAATATTCGTCAAAGGACATGTGTTACCGCATCATTGAGCCGTGTAACCCTCCGTCATAAAAGGTGTAAACGAAAATTAAGACGTTGGACACTCACATGACACTGCATTGAGGCTCAACAGTCAAATCCAAGCGGCACTCTTGGATTCTGGATTCCACGTCGTGGATTCTGGACTCTGGATTCTTTGTCAGTGAAAATTGGGGTCCGGATTTCAATCGTTAGCGGGATTCCGGATTATTTGCGCTTTATTCTTGGTTCCAAAGCCCAGAATTCTGGATTAGAATAGGAAACTTTGCCGCTTTCCTTATTCTACAAGCAAAAATTTCCCGCATTCCGGAATCCATATTCCCTTACATGGGACGAAATCTACAACAGTACTGGATTCTGGATTCCACTCTATGAATTCCGGGCTCTGGATTCCTCGCCAGTGGAACTTAGAATATGGATTCCTTGAGCTGGATTACGGATTCCAAAGCCTAGGATTCCGGATTTCGCGAGTAAACATTTCCCGGATTCCGAAGTCCACATGCCTAGATTTCTCAGAGTGTCGAAACGACTATAGTTTCGTTTTCAAACACTACTTATTGCGTTCATGTCAGAGATTCGAATGTTTGATTTGGTGGATGGTTTGATTCAATACAAAAGCTATTGATGTTCACGACTTGCTGTCGCCAATTACTTAAATAAATATAATAGCAATCTCACTGTCTTTTTGTTGAAAAGCTCGAGTGGATTAGCTTAGGACGTAATGACCCGTGAAATTAGTTAGCTTTTCTTTCTGATACGATTAAAAGCAAAATTTAGTTATGTCTAGTCTAGTTTTAAACTTAATTTTTGCTTTAAATCTCAAATGCAGAAATGCTAACAAAACTCAAGGCCAACAGACAAGGTTTAAAGACACTTTATGAATGAAAAGAGCGTTGTTTGTTTAAGTAATCAGAAGGTCGTTATTCACAAATACGTATACTAAAATCACAAACAAAAGATGCAAATGTAGTGGAGTATAAAACAAATAAGTTCATTAACAGAGAATGTAGTAATGGGGGTGTACACATGTGCTTCAATCGAATCAAAAGTCGCACAGCCACGAGTAGTTCTCTGATTCTGTTTAAATTGAGTTACTCGGAAGTTTTTTAAAAGTCTTTTCACTTTAGGGAATTTAAGTGAACTGCATTAGAACACCGATCTAGAAACCCTGTTAAACGGATAACCCGGTGAAACGAAAAATTCTTCTCCCCCAGTTATAGAAAAATGTACAGAACAGGATCTCGATTTATACAACGTACCCCTGTTACACTGTGAACAGTTTTCCCGGGCCATAGCACTTTATAATAATCGAGGCTACAGTGTACTAGAAGTACTGTAATCCTATTTTGGATCGACCATTAATTAAGAGATTTCAGACGCATTTAACTTAATTACTGTAACTTTGTTTGAGCCCAATCTTTTCCGAGTATATCTTTGAGTTTTGGTAGCTTTTCATTTTTCACGTTCCAGCTTGTTACAACCCCTTTCCTTCGCTTTTGATGACTGACTTGCAATTGATCATGCCTCGCTGAAGCTTTTCCATTCGTTAATGTCACGGGGACATTGAAAACAATATTCTCAACCTTAGAATGTCTTTTCACCGCTCCTGCATCGCTGTTTTCATTTTTCGCTCCCTGCTTAGCTAGCTTTTTATTTCGCAACGTTCGCTTTGAGGACGAATCTTTAATCCTTGGAAAACCAATCACCCAGTTATGAAACTCCGATTCCCTCGAAATAGACCTTTTCATAATCTGTGGTACATTCGCGTCAGTGCAAGTTATCGAGGGAAATGTGTCCGCGGATCTCTCAGTACTAAAAGACCGAAGTAATTTCTGTTTATCTCTAACAGATAATCCTTGAAACGTTTTCTCCCTACTGAACAGACGAGGAAGTTGGTGTAACTGTAACTTATTTCTGGCTTCTCTGGCAAACCGTTTTCTGTCCCTGTTTAAGTTGAACAAATCTTCTTGCACCTTTCGCTTTTCAGTCTTGAGCTCGATGTTACTTTGTATTCGTTCCTTCTCAATTTCTCGTTCAGCGACAGCAAGAGACTTAATTCGTTCTTGAAAAATTGTAAGGGCTTTATCGTGAACAGATTGGTGGCCTCTCGATTTGGATACGTGCCATTCCATCTTCTTCCCTGACCAGCTTCAAAAACAGGTGCAGTAGCGAGCAGGGTAAACAAACTGCACACTACAAAAAATTCGCTGAGGAAAATTATAGAAAAAGCCTTTTCCATAAACAAGATGAGCACTGAGTTAATCCTTTAACTATGACGCTACTACTACTATACAGTAGCTAGTCATTAGCAGTCCCACTATAAACCAAATATTTTAATGACTTTGACTGGGCGATCGCGACAAATAAACCACTCAACCGTTTAATAAGAGCTACCTCACAAAACAAAATTAGTCTAGCATAAAGCTTTGAACGCCCGATTCTGGAGAATTTTTTTGAGAACTTTGGCGCGAGAGGAGATAATTTGCGCCATTATCACGTTATTTCCATGGTCCCATCTGTCATAGACCACTTAAGCTCTCGACCAATCAGGGCTTGAGAAATCGCCCAGTCATTGTAGAACAGTTATAGTCAAAATTGCAACGAAGTATGTGAAACTGGCTAAAATAGCGAGGAAGGAAAAAAAAAATTCTAAAAAATTATTTCATGCAATTCCAAACGGCTCCTTAATCATCGTCCGTTAGTACCAAGTAAAATGAAAAAAAAATTAACCACAATTCCCCAGCCGTCCTTTTAATTGTTAAGACTCACCTTCCTCTCCTTCCATACGATAACGGCATATCCGAGAAACTTGACACTGCCCTATAAGGAATATTTGCAAACCAACAGTTACTCGTTCAGCTCGTTATAATTCTTGGTAAAGCCTATGGACGCTTTTCCTATTGCAAAACAAGTTTGTGCAGTGAACCAGTGATTAAAGGCGTTATGTCGGTCACCTATAAGCAGTATTTGGCAAACGGATAGGTTATGGCTTACACTGAAGTGTTTTAAGCAAAAAAAAAAGAGCGTCGGACAGCCGACAATGGAACGACATGAACAAATCAAACGCACTCATTCTGAGCGTAGTATGGCATTTCGTGCCGGGTATGAATTGACCAGGCCTCATTTGTTCAAAAGGTAGTTAGTGCTAGCTACTGGAAGGATAACACAATTGGTTTCCCTTGCATTCATCCCCTGGATAGTGATTTATCCGGTG